AACTCCCAACTCATTTCCACATCCCACTCCTCACACATCTAAACACTCACTTCTCCTCACACTCTCCAAGCATTCACCATCCCCCTCACCCCCCAATAACTCACTAATGACTTCGCTCCAGAAAACCACTTCTTTCCCCATTCCCCAAGCACTCGCCTCTCCAATCCCCACACACTCATCTCGCCATGCATGTACCTCTCCAAGCATGGAAAAAGCCAAACCCCAACATAACCAAAGCTATCAATATAAATTGATTAAACCCTTTCGTTGCTTATGGAGTAATCCTCCGTAGGGATTAGAGTTATTCTCAGCATACAATGTGATGCCGTGCTGAGACGTATTTTTACTATCGCAGCATTACAAGGCAGAGCTGTGCTGCAGTGCAGTGAAGTACTAGTGCAATGATGCAGTGCAGTGATGCAGTGCAATAATGCAGTGCAATGATGCAGTGTCTCCGCTGCAGTGGTGACAGTGCTGGGTATGTGCCAGCGCCAAGTGCGGCCGCAGCGTAGATGCAGATACTGCAACAACAGCAGCAACAACTCATACAGATACTGCAACAACAGCAGCAACAACATAAGACTTTACAGTAGTACAGGTAATAGCAATAGCATTAATAATTAAGACTATGCATCAGCTCAGTCTGCTTGCACGTCTAAAGCAATTTCAACTAAACCTCAAGATGAATGCTTGTCATCGGCAATCTACACAAGATAGCTACACTCGAAAGTTGTTATCTCGTCATCTGACCAACCATATCTCTTAATATGAGCTGCTATAAAACTCCGGTCGTTTTTATATACTTTGCAATAGAGGACAAGCGGTTGATCAAAGCTGAAAAGAGCCAATAAGGCATCAGTTATCACTCGTTATCGGTGCTCTCGTTGAAGTTATAACGCCTATTATGAACAAATTAAGATAAACGACTCTCTAGCGAGCAACTTCAAAGTTATTTGTATGGAAGCAACTGTTCTCTTTCTCGTCATATGAAGTGATTATCGGTTTCGTTCCACCGATGCGGAATGACTACAATATTAACCCTATCTGTCGTCTTTTCTTCAACCCTATTTTTTTTCTTTTCTCATTGACACGAACGAATTTTCTCTACTCATTTACAGTGTTGTCTGGTAGCGGAGTTTCATCATGACTTCTGCGTTCTGCATCAACTCCGTATCTCAGTACTTCAAACTTGGTTCAGTTCAAAGCTTGTTTTTTTACTTAGGCCCAGCAGTATAATGCAGACAGATCATCTTGCTACCTCAAAAATCTTGCCTTTTATCATCATCAGCACCCCCAGGTCGTCCTCAAATGACGATGTCGAGGTGTAACTCACTTCCACGACTATGTCGGTAATATAAATAAGGAAGATCAGATCATGCAAGTATCGCTCCTTGCGGACTCCGCTTTTCACCTTCGCCTCGCTTGATCGCAAGTCTCCCAGAACGACAGTCCTCGCGATCTGTCGATTACTAAGTTGTGAATCCACGCCAGCGAGTCTCCACCGACCCTCAGCAGTCAATGAAAAGCATTAATATAATGCTTCAATTAGTGTAATCAATATTATGTCAATATTATGTCTCCCGCGTCCATTGCTCTCTTCTCATAATCCAAGTCCGAGACTTTTGATAAAAAATTAAGAGTTACAACAGAAGTAAAACTTAGAGAAATGTTTACCCATGCATGCTCTGCAGAGCACCAAGTATCTTTCGGACAGCAGTATGCATTCAGACTAGGTATAAGGAAAGACTCAGAAAAATAGAGGAGTCACGTTGCCCAAATTTTTTACCCACATCACTATATAGGTAGCACACAGTACGCGTAGCACTGATGAGCCCTTTTGATGCGTCAAACTGAGCCAGAATGACCCACACAAGGGCAAGAAATGTATCGCTATTTGGACAAAGTCCCACTCATTTTTTTGAGTGTGAATACTTCTTCTGCTTTAAACTCGAGTGTCCGTCGCCTCTTTGAACGTCATTTGAGCACAAGCGTCTTGAGAGGGCGAGATGGTCAAGAAATATACGAGTATTCCAGACACACTCACTGCCTCCTCGTCCCAGGGCCTCCCTTGCATCCTAATTATTGTACTAACCCTTAAAACTCAGCCATGCACTCACAGAAATGAGTGATATTATGTCCAAATAGTAATACACATTTATTGTCCTTATGTAAGTCATTCAGACCCATTTTGGCCCGGAGAGAGGGCGTATTCGTGCTACGTTCGCTCCCTGCTCGTGCTGTGTGTTAGAAAGTGAGCCACTATCTGGACAATGTGACTCATTTTATTTTTCTCAGTGTACGCTTTAAAAGACCTGCGATGCCAGCAGGCAGATGGTGCAATACGAGTAAGTATAACAGCAGCACGACACATAGGAAGTATTTGTCTTGATGTTTGATCGGCACAATCATTTTGACGGCAGCTTCGCTAACTCGGCAGGCAACTCGGCGGTGTGAATTTAAGGACTTTTGACTATGGCAACACCGCCAGCCCAATCATTCAAAAATTGATTATGATTAAGGACGCGATTTTTATTTTGCTGCAGGACATATACGCATAAAAACTCACTCAGTATGCGCCAATGCAAAGCGCATTCGGAACGTTTCGATAAGAAAGTCGAACATTTATATACGTCACGGCCAGATATAGAGCACCAAATTTAGCACAAAATGGTAAACATCACAGCTAGAATTAGAGCACAACAGAGACATTTTTAGAGCACATCTTTGAATCACAGCCAGAAATAGAGCATCACAGTCATTTTTACTGCAAACTAGTTTACATCGCAACCCGTTACATCACACTACTTAAAACAAATTTTTTAATTTAACAATAAAGCGCAATGAGCAATGACATTTCTGAAAAGCTAACAGCCAACAATTGAAATTCATCGACGTACTAGATTCTGATACCTTTCTGCTATCAAATTCATATACCGTACTAAACTGAAACCAGGTTCTGAAACCAGATTCGGACATCTTTCATGATTCCAGATTCCGATAACAGATCTCGATAAAGAATTATATCTTTTACGATAACTACGATTATCGTGAACACAAGATTTTCCTGCTCATATAAAGGATTGTTCAATTATGGAAGTAACCTAGTATGACAAAAATTTAAAATTGTACAATGTTTATGACTTATTTTCTGGCGGAATCGTGCAGAGGCTCACCAGGCCCTCGATCTGGAGTTTTAAGACTTGACTACTAATTGGCAGTTAGATGAATTAATTATGATTTTTAAATTTACTCTGTTTACACAGAATTTGTAATTCAAGAAGCAACACGAATAGGTATATATCATCAACTCGTATAAGGTGTGCAAATGTATAATTCAGAATTATCAATCTAACAGACAATTATGATGGCTAATAAACGAAAAATTTATTACATAATATAATACATAGGTACTATATAATATAAGATACAATAATTTTAACTGCAACTTTGTATCTTCAAATAATCAAATCTAGCCTCAGAAACAATAAGTTTGTGAGCACCCACATTTAGCAAAAACCACCAAGATAAAGTCAGAAGATAAACAAACATTTATCTTTAAAATTTAGATAAACAACCGCTAAGATAAAGATAGCACAGGTCGAGAGATAGGTACTAAGAATGTTAAAACATAATCTGGTGATGGAGCTGGTCTCGGAAACGTTTATGATGATGATGACATGTTGAACTTATCCATGCGATTACTTTGCTTTTATATTCTTGGTGAAGTTTCGATTTAGGCAGACTAAATTATTGAGTGCTTGTATACGAGCTTCAAAAGATGCTGTAGAGCTCATCCTGACTTAGTTTGGCCCGGCAAAAAGGTATGTCATTTCTATACCCGCTTTCTGCTCATGCTGTGGTAAGAAAAGCGTGTCAGTGGCTGGACAATATGGTCCATTCATTTTTCTGACTGCATGTGAGCTAACATCGCATTCTGCCGCACAAAGATAAGACAAAAGGAAGGCAAGCAGGAGCCTTGCTAACCAAGGTCACCAAACATCACCTACCACCAACCATGACATTTTAAAGACCATCCTATTTGTTGCCTTTGAGTGTGGATATAAAAGATGCAGACGACATCATTTGCGTGTCTGTTACCAAGCAGTGTGTTATTCTATGATAAATGTCCCTTGGAAACCTGATATTTGGATTTTCACTTCCTATCAAGAGCCTAATTCGCCGAATCGAGAAAAATAATAAGAAAATTGTCAATAAGAAATACTCTCTGGTCTTCAATGAAACCTGCATTAAAGAACAGCTTCTGCCAAACTACACAAATATTCTATGATGGTGCATAAGGCTTCTGTCGTTTTTGAGCGGATGCATGTCCATCTCTAGACTTTCATTAATTGTGATGTCATCCACTCCAGACTGTGATAGGTTGTGTGATGACCTTTCCAATATGTTATGTGCACTGCTTAATTTAATACCCCTCTAGAATTCCAGCTTGATAAATACCAAGGATTAACAAATGGCATTTTTGTACTCTTTACATCGCATTTACAGTACGAAAGTAACGTATTCTACGTAGGAGCAGTAATTTGCAGAGAACTAATCAATGATTTGGCAAGCGTAGATGTCAAACCCGGGGTAGTGACAACTAAAACTGAAAGGTGATGCTAGTCAGACACGTCAATGATGGTGTAGGTATATTATATATGGTATTTTGAGATAGTGCAAACGAATTAATCCATTAGAAACTTAATAACTCTGAACCGCAATACCACTCATAAAAGCAAACTATATAATTTAGGTTATCTACAATAACCATTAAGGCCATTTTTGGAAGAATCATAGATCGAGTAACTTCGATAGAGATTCATGCTGCTAATAGTAACTTTTTTATGTAATTAACGGGTATCATAGGATCGTTTCTGCCGTTATTGTCACAGCCTGCCATTATTTCTTATAATACAAATTCCGAAAAACACATTACACATTTGGAAAATATAACAAGTTTTTTTTCAAAAAAAAATATATTTCTAATGCCAAGTACTTACTTGCCAAGCTCCTCCTTGACTTCATAGTTGTCACTGAAACGCGTCGATGGTTGAGCCATGTTGATGTCGTTGATGTTGATGATGTTGTCAATGTTGTTGATGTGGTTGATGTTGTTGATGAGCGCAATCGTGAAGAGAGCAGCCCAGGCTACAATAACACGCACTCCCTCGCAATAACGTCAGCAATGACCTGCACTGGTAGCACCACTCAACCTAACCACCACGACCACTTCACCACTTGCTCCCTAATCTCGACTGCAATAGGTAATAACAATCCTATTATTATTATTATTAACGAATATATTATCAAACCTCATGAAATAAATCAGATATTAACCACAAAACACTAAGTGTTCCACATTAAATGTTAAGAACGGAAGGGTTTTGTAGTGTTACAGAATAAAGTGTTTGGTACAAACTTTTTTTCATGTAAATATAAAAACGAACACTGACGCTTGACGTTGAAAAAAACTTTCATTTCATGTATTTTAAGGAAACTTTGTGGATGGATGAATAGAAAGGAATCTTTGGAACGCAGAGGCCTCTTTCACACGAAAAATACGGTAGGATGCTACTTATTGGATATATTCAAAAGAGTGCGGCGATACCTATTAGTGCTTTGCACCTTACAGATCGCCTTATTAAACTACTTAGTAACCATCTCATTGGGGTACTTAGTAAGCGGCTAACCAAATACATTAAGTAGCACGTCAATATGCAACCTACTAAGCACCTTAGAGAATACTTAAAAAAAACTTCTACAGTTCAGCCCGTTATAAAGATGAATCGAATCTAATGAACAGCAAGTGAACAACCCTTTTTAGCGCATTTTCTCATTTATGGAAAAAATGCACTATTGTGCTCGCCATGTCCGTCTGTCTGTCTGTCTGTTTGTCCGTCCGTCTGTCCGTGACTTCAAGTTTATAAGCACCTTAGAGAACACTTAAAAAAAAACTTCTACAGTTCAGCCCGTTATAAAGATGAATCGAATCTAATAAACAGCAAGTGAACTACTTTTTTTTCATGAACAAACAAGTCGTGTCGTGTCGATCAATCCCTTGCCTGTGGCCTGGGCCACAAATATAATATATATAAAGAGTTCACGTACATATATATAAAGAGTTCACGTACATATATAAAGAGTTCACTTAACTCCGTCAGCCAATCACCGACGAGGTTTAAGCTAAACCCTCCAATTATAGACGAGAAATTGGTCGCTACGTGTACTTAAGTTAGTTTTGATAATACGGACCCGGTAGGAAGTAAGAAGCCTGCCGTTTAGTGTTCGATGATACGGGAAAATATTATTCGTTTCCTTATTAATGCGTGTACTCAACGCATGTATATATAACTCGTGCACAACAGCGCGTACAATTGCTAAGTAACCGCGTACAAGTGCCAATTACTTTCAAGTCCCTTGTACATCAATTAGCTAACAGCCCGTAAAAGTGCTAATTACTTTGAAACAGTTTCGAAAGCGCAACAAAATTTTACAGGTTCTTTGGGAGGAGGGAGTTCGGTTGTTTTATTGATAGAAATAGTTTTATTGAAGGCCGGCGACATAAGGGCTTTGGCGACATTAGACTAGTGACAATTACGTTAGCGTGCAACCGTAACGGCTGATAATCTCAGCCACATGGGCTGTAATCTAGTTATGTCTCAAGCCTCATTAAATAAAATCGATTATTTCTCCTTGCCAGATAACTTAATCATTCAATAAACCCAGCTAAGTACGAAAAATCGAAACGAACTACGAAATTCTTTTTAATTTGCGGCCAGAGTTCAAACCAAGTTCCACTGCCTACAAGACGAATCGAGTAGGTGGGTTCTACTTCATTCATCTTCCGTTCAAATCCTACAGAAAAAAGACATATACGATATACCGGTGCAAATCTTCTCTCGCTTTATTCAAAACTTTGCCCAAGACTCTTCAAATTCAAAATCCTTATCAGTTCTGAATTCATAGTATGAAACTATGAAAGCGAACTATGAAAGCATAGTATGAAAAAGCGAGATAAACTGCGCTTTTTTATCGTCCAGTTGAGGTTAAAAAATCGCTCCATATGGTATTTCAAATTCAATTCATAATTCGTTTGAGATATGGTTATGAAAAGCGTTCTTGTTGAGTGCCGATTGTGAGTTTGGATTTCCCGTCAGTGATGGGCAGAAGTTTGTTAGCATAAATAGAAGTGAGGACTGTGAGGTCTTCAGGATAACTCCGTTTCGGAACGTCTCTTACATTTTACACGGATTTTCAATTTGCAATACGACATGGAGATACGAGACAAGAAATACCGTGCTAGATTTGCTTGTCAAACGACAGGTTTAATCGACATCCTAGATAATTAACCTAAATATTAGATTTACGAAATTCCTAGCTTATAAGACCATAACCCCCATAGGCATAAGACCATGACCATTAGCAGTTCCTAACTTATGGTCATAGTAACCAAAAAATCTTCGACGGATAAATAATCATCAATGTCAGAGTTGGCATCGATTGATTGCTATCGATGGCCTTATTTCTGGAACAAAATACACACAAAGAATCCTGCCACTGGCACTGACACAAGAATCAAACAAAGCTCCATTTGTCACGGTATCCAATCATTCTTTAGAAGAACAGCGCGATGATCACATTCAATTTTAATGAAGAGAGCAAGTTGTTCGGTATAGTTTGAAACACTGCAGTATTGACGCGAACTTCCCACATACAGGCACCATTTCTTTATTCCCACACTTTGGCCGTTTATCATTAATAGATTAAATGAACTTATTTTCCACATTATTTGTGATAAATTGTATCAATTTGAATTATCACCTGATAGGAACAAAACATTTTAAGGTAGTAACGTCAACAGATAAAAATGGCACTCTCGGCGCAGAGCCACGGCACACACTCCTTCTCCTGCACTGACCACATAGAGAATGCTGTGTTATTTTGACTCATGCGCAGTAATCAGTACTTGGAAACTTATACCGATACCCTATGTATATAGAAGATCCGTGTGAAGAATTGACCCAATAGATTTGGATTCCTAACAATAAATTTCATATATCAATATTGACTTCATCATAAGTAGCTTAAATGACAGAATTTCTGATAAATATGGATAAGACAAATTTAATTACGACTTGGTAACCTTACAAAATTGTATATCTTGAACGATGACGTTCTATCTGCAACATAGCGATAACTCTTATCATGTACTATGGACCAGAAGGCCATGAGTCGATATGAAACGTCTCCAAATGTCATACAAAATTTCTCTACTCGATTTGCCTTTATTGAAGCTGACGTTTCCCTTTAAATCTAGTATCGTCTGCAATTCACGTCGTCGATTCAACTTACATGTGCAAACTGTTCAACTTGATATTTAACCTGCGTTATCCATATATTCATCGAAAATTATTTAAATTAATTTCAGGTCAGAATTATTTCAACAATTTACTTCAGATGTCATTATTTGAATTTATTTCTAAAAGAACAATCAGCAACACCTGTTACTCGTAAACGAAACATTATGAAATATGCACGAAACAAAATAACACGAATTTTCAATGATAAAAATAAAGTGTCTACACAAAGAGGTATTGATTTTGAATAATCATCCTTCAGGATACGAGGGAAAACTCCATAAATGTCTCAGAATACACCTAAAATATCTTTTATTAAGAAATTTTTCGAGCGTGAAGTAAAAGATAAAGGAGCTTGCGGCCGGTCCGACTTTCTGAGGTGCTTGTATTGATCGCGCTACCGTACATGTGCACCATCATCACATGGCACGTCTGTGTGCGTGAGAGCGAGGAGATGTAACCTACGCACAATATATTCTCCCAAGCATGTCTGGCAACTTCTACATCTGCACAAACGGGACGTTTTTACCAAACGCTAAAATAAATAATATCTTTAAAACATCGCGTGTCCTCAGGGCTGATAGAGCAGGTTTACGTAGTAACACTTTTAAAGCGTACTTTATTTACTGTGTACTAACAAGTTATGTACATTGAGGAGATGACCTTGAGGGCATAGACACTTGTGCAGCTACATGAAGAATCGTAGAGCCTCACAGCGCCGTGGTCTTGTCTTTTAAATTAACCCTTCAATAGTTAGCTTAAATCAGAGCTAGTTCATTTTTTGCAAGAAAATATAGTTGCACTGTTTGGATGTTAGTTCGGATAGCACATTCTAACAATAAAATTTTACATTGAATTAACGTAAATTGGTTACCATCGTTTCGATCAATTCAATTGTGATCGTTTCGTGCCTTTTTTCCCTTGACTGGAAACTATAAGGATATTTTTGAATTTGGCGATGTAAATTGGTCTTTTGAGAATAAAAAATTATTCACATGTTTTAAAAATTCTTCACAAATATCGTTCCCGTATTTCATTTTAGATTTGAACCAACAGAGTAGTCGATCAATAAAATAATGAGAGATAATAGACTCCGTATACCCTTTGGTTGTGATAATCATGAAAATAATGTGGGAGGAAAGTCAATTCAATAGCATTTTTCCTTGATCATTTCCTAGAACATTACTTGAACGAACATCTGCACCTGTGATGAGATCAAAATCATTAACTTCCTTTTGAAGCTAATTTAATGAAATATTTGCATTATATTAGAACCATACAACAACCTGTGCAAATTTTTTTATTATTCACTTTTAAATCAAATGAGAAACCTAATTTAAATTACTGTTGTTGCCGAGATAACGTTGAATGGTTACATAACAAGCATAAATAATTGACTTGGTTAACACATACAATTATCAAGATTAGTCTTTATAAGATCGAAGTGGTGCTAATTTGATAGTATTACTTCTAGGCCATTTTGAGAAATTTTAATCCTGAAAGTCAGCAGATCACATTGACCGAGTCAATGACAATTTTCAGTCATGATTTGTCCTCTACGTGACCTCTTCCCAATATCAATTCCTGACTCTGACGATCCATTTAGTAAAGTTGACATATACTAATTAAGAATACTACAATAACAGTGATAAATGCGATTAGTTTATATCAATATTTGCTGTCTTCACCAATACTATTACTGACTAATACTATGTGGTGTGATGAGTTTCATTTCAGATGTCCTGCAGACGACGTAGAAAGAACTTCAGTCTGTAATCCAAACAAATTTTCTACACAAAATAATTTTCATGAGGGACTAAGGCAAATAAATAGCAGTTCTAAATATTTTCTGTAGGATTAAATTGAAAGTAAAGTCATGGTCAATTAGCTATATCATATGGGGATGATGATTTTTGCATATATATGATGGTAATTTACACTAGCGATTAATCAGAGGGTAACATGAAGCTAGTAGATGATTGCGATGGACAATTTTCATGAGATTCGTCTTATTGTGAGTTTATTTCGTGTGTAACTTATACTAAGTGGCAGCTAAATGGAAAATTTTATATTGTGACATGAGACTCAAATTTACTAGTATTACTCATATTTAATCTGAAAAATTTGGCCAACAAGATTTTGAATTACAACTGAGTAACTGAAATTAGCACGTTACATATACTAAGTTAGAATCACGATACAGAAATCTAAAACATTTTTACTTTAATTCGACAAATTGATTCAAATTCAACTCAAAGTTTATGCAGCATATCGTCATGTATAACTTCACCGGTGAAAGCTCTCCCGATAGATGTCGCTGCATCTAAGACTTTTTCTACGCTGTCTAAGGCACTCGTCGCAGCGCCAGTGGAATGTTAGTGTCTCGGTGTCTCTGAAGTTTAGACCTACGCTCAGTGTAGGTAAAGCTGTGAAAGCAGTAGTGACGATCATTAATTTACTGCTCCATCATGTCTCGTGTTTCGAAGAGATTTTATCGTTCAGATAGTGTACACAATCTTGCATTTTTGGACAGAGGTGAAACAGCAGCTGCAGAAAATCGTTTTATTTTCGAGATAAGTCACGAAGCGGCGAATAAAGGTAAGTTTTGGTGACCTTCACCAATTTCTAAACGAGATGAATCAAGAAGCGCCGGGTCGTTTGATATAACTTTCTAAAGGTATTATTTTTCATCCTATAATAGCAATCCCATTGCTGAACAATCACGTTATATTTATATCTAAATCCATGGTTGATGAAAACTATTTCTGTCAAAATTTTATTTCTTTTAAACTCAGCTGCATTCGAGCACTTAATACTGTTAATAGAATAGAATAGAAGTGTGGGCACTGATGAAATAGGCCCATCCGCCCATGGCCTGTTGCCGATTCTTGCATTTTTCGTGACTTGATTCACAAGGGATCCGGCCTTTGGGACCCGATCTTTCCAGACGATTGATTCTTGTCATAGTAAGTAACCACGATTTGTGATGATCTGTGTTCAGTGTGTTGTTGGGCGCCTACTCGAAGGCATTGAACTTCTGACACTAACCTGTGTCTCAACTATGTTTATTAAGACTTAATTGATGAATTGAATGTGTGTTGTCAGATTGTGTTCGAAAGTTGAGGCAAAGATTTGTTGAAAATTAGGTTTCTTTTGATTTTTGAAGGCCTTCGACGCGAGTGCTGTTGCGAAGTTCGTGACATTAGACGGTACTACTCCCGAGAAATATTTTTTCATGTATCCTGAATTCACTCTGTATCTTCACTGACCAGTAAACAATTCTATTACGGACATGAACACTTCCGCACACCATGTCAAACTAAGCAGATGTGACAAACTTCATATAAACTGAATTTATATTGATGCCGTTCGTCTTGTGTTTTTAATTGTCATTGCCCAGTACCGGTACTACTCACTAACAGATTAAACTCCGCTGCATTCTGGCACTTGACTTGGTCATCATAAGTACCTACGATTTCGTGATGGTTTGTGTTGTTGGTCGCCTACTGGAAGGCATTGAGCTTCGGACACTAACCGGGTCTCAACTATGTTTATTAGGACTTAATTGATGAATTGTATGTGATGTTTTGCCAGATCGTGCTCTAAAGTTGAGGTTAAGTTTTGTTAAGAAAATATATTGTTTCTTTTGAAGGCCTTCAACATGAGTGCTGTTGCGAAGTTCGTGGCTTAAGGGTACTACTCCCTAGAAATATATATTTTTTTACGTATCCTGAATTCATTCTGTATCTTCACTTACCGGTAAACAATTCTACTGCCGAGATGAACACTCTCGCACACCATGTCAAACTAAACAGACGTGTGACAAATTTCATATAAACTGAATTTATATTGATGCAGTTCTTCAGGTGTTTTTAATTGTCATTGCCATTACTACTCACTAACAGTTTCAGCGCATACTACGGTCATAAATTGGGTGAAGTTAAAAAATTCTATTGACAAGTAAGTCAGTTATTTTGCAATACTCAAGGGGCCTTTTTCTGGCCAAATTTCACCGTATGGGTATTTTTTCGATTGCATTACCGGGCTAAAATCTATGATGGCCTTAAACGTAATGTAATTTCAAATGAGAAAAATCGAAGAATTGAATTGTTGCACCGCAAATTGAAAAATTATTTTTAATGTTGAATTGTGGCCATTTTTTGCGTTCTCTTTAGCAGATTTGGCCGCTTTCTTTTGCCACAGTCCGGCAACCCTGGCCTGAACATTTGACCTCTTGCCGCTAGCGTATCCCTGGTACGTTGATTAGTGCCTATATTCAATGAAGTAAATTAAGCGTGCTAGCATTGAAGAAAATCTCATGAAACTGCGTCAGTTGCCGACCCTGCAATCAAATTCGTCCAGTACAACACTCATAAAAAGGAATGGGTAGGTAATATTGTACAAATATTGACTCATTTTCTGCACGTAGATTTCCTAGCACTGGTCCGTTTTTTTGCCGATTCAAGGGAATTACTTTAGATTAAGTGCATCCAAAAGAAAGGGTGTTTTTTTAATTATATGTTTTTGGGGTGTAGATTAAGAATCTGAACTCCGTTTTTTGCGGTCGGCATTTTTTTATATATTTTCTATAGAAAACGAACCTAACCTAACCTAGCGCGATTTTTGGATTTTACATAGTTTTACAGACTGGAAATGATCTATATCGATCTGGGAATGACTGTAAACCTATGTAAAACCCAAAATTGCGCCAGGTTAGGTTAGGTTCGTTTTCTATAGAAAATATATTAAAAAAAATGCCGACCGCCAAAAACGGATTTCCGATTCTTAATCTACACCCCAAAAAACATATAATTAAAAAAAAACAGCCTTTTTTGGATGCACTTAATCTAAAGTATTAGAGTATTACCGATCCAAGCTGGGTCAGGATTGCGTACACGTAAGCAAAAGTGCATCGCAATTAGGACGAAGTCTCCTCGTTCTCTGAGTGATGGAGTCATCTTTACCAAAATTTTTCGGTCTGTAGAAAAAAATTTGTGATCGCAAAACATTATTTCCGTTGAAGGTAATGTGTAAAAATGTGTGCCTATTATCGCTTTTTTGCTCATGCAGTTGTGACTGTTGCTCATTTGTAATGATATTCCTACCTAGAGCGTTCAGTTAATCGGTCTTTTATCTCGCCTCTGCCCTAATAAGAAGTATGACTCGGCCTTGAAGCCTACGCCTTGTGCAGTGAATGTCTGCTGCGTAGGCATTAACCTACAGTGTAATCTACTGAACTCTTTTAATACTGCAGTGTTGCCACCGCTATGCCGCTAGCTCTTACACTGCAGTGCTGCTACCACCATGCCACTCTTACCACTGCAGTGTTGCTACCGCCATGCCACTCTTACCACTGCAGTGTTGCTACCGCCATGCCACTCTGATCCCTCAGTATAGAAGTGGCAGATGAATATAGTTAATATAGGTTTTCACGCCTATAGCTCCCCTACAGTTATAGGTGCATATCCGAAGCGTCTAAATTATCGACTTGATGTGATGATGATTCTTCAGTGTCACCATTTGCTATTTAAATCACCCCGACTGGTTCTGTTGCTTTATAACCTCTACAACTAAATTGTACCGCGACTAAATTGTACAGCCTCTACAACTAAACCCGCGACGTAGAACCGGTACTGCAACTGCATTACGCGCACACGAACTGTAGAGACGCCGGCATGTGCGTGCTGGCGCCAGCCTGCACACACACGCACGCCGTGTGCGTGTTTTACCAGCCTGTACGTTCACACACGTCGTGTACGTGTTTTTGTCTGGGCCGTGAGTTGCATACAAGGCGCACTGCAGTAGAACACTTTCAGTACGTCAAAAACGTATAAAAAATTAATTCAGTTATACTCGTATAGATCTATGAAATGTATCGCGTTCATTCAAGAAGCACGTTATCAATTTGTAAAGTTACTCGTATATACCTATTAATTGAAAAGTTCGGCAAGCAGCCTGTAATTCTTTTTCGTCATTGTCATGTCAATTTCCCGGCATTTGCTTGGAAGTTGTAAGCATTATAAGGAATTATAAATTAAGCATTATAAACATTAAGTAATGCATAAAAATGTAAGTCGATTGTGAAGAGTACCTTATCTGTGTGACGATATCTCGAGCGGCCGCAGGCTCTTGCACCCTCGAAAACTTTTATTTATCAGCATGACGGTAATTTTTGGTGCATTTGCATGGTGAATTTGGGTACGTATATACTGGGTTGGCAGGCGCATTCGGATGCTTATATAGGTACTGGGTTGGCCGTTGCTAATGGAACGACGCCTAATTTGCCAATGCGTATATTTTTCTGAATGCATGTACAAAATGCATGCTTTTAATTCTTAATGCATTCACGTTCCTGCTGCACTGCGTCATATAAGACTATACTAGTGCAAATGTTAGGTCAGATATACGGATGTGTTGTATACATGGTGCGCCGTGTATAATTGGTAAGAGTCCTGTGTTGTATGGAGTTCTCATACGTCAAGAAGCCACTGTATTTACCGTGCAGTAAAGCTTACAAGATATGCTTTAAAGATATTTCTACTGCTGCTCTTTATTCTATGGCCGGTTTTTGCCATGTTTGCTTGATCGAGTTATTATAGGGTCAGGGTGAAATTATGCCGAAATCCGTTAAATGACTAAACGAACAGATATATCAATTGCGTTCAATCATTGAACTTTTCATCTTGTCTCTATGTAGTATCGTCGACCTGCATGATAATCGCTACCTAAGTTTGAATGGTGCACGGTGCATCTTACCTCAATATCAATGTTCAATTTATGGGTCGAAGTGGTCTCGAGGTAAAAATACGGCACGAAATTTTCTTCGTCTGCTCAATTTTTGCCGATTCTCGAATTGAAATAGAATCGTCTGTCTTTAAAAGATCCCGAATTAATTCAATTGTTTTCATTGGGTTATTTGTTCGTGTAGATTCTTATGATTAAAGTACATATATTTATATATATTATATATTATCGTTTAGATTCCAAGCATTATCGTATGTATTTTATATAGCATCGTATAGATTCGCCCCATTAATTGTAAAGCAGCGTTCGTTTACTAGGTGTGCAGTCGATGTGTGATTGTGTACACGTAGTCACGTATACTCATCTGTGAATGTACGAGTGACGTGACCATGGCACCGACCAAGCCTGCACTCATAAAACTTATAAGGTCATTGTCCAAATAACGATACACGATTTGTGGGTCATCCTGACCCGGTTAGGCTCAAAAAAACGGGTGCGTATCAGTGTTAGGTGCGCTCTCTACTCGTACTGTGGGTAAGAAAGTGTCACTATTTGGACACAATGACACCTTCATGTCCCTGAGTGCACGCTGAAGGTTGTCACTGCAGACGTAGTTGGCTTGGTCTTCTCTTGGCTCCAATGCACGGGAGACTATTTTTAAATAGTCGCGTTTTGTGCTTACGTATATACACACGGAGAAATTTATGAGACTCTGTCCAAATAACGATGCACTTTTGCGGATCATCTTGACCCAGTTTGGGTCGTAAAAAGAAGTATCAGTGTTATACGTAGCAAGTGTAACTATTTGGACAATTCGACCCTTATATTTTTCTTAGTGTACGGGCGTGACTAGACAACTGCGCAGAGCCCCGCTGTTGAATAAACGGTCGCAGTCAGCTGATCACTACACTGAGAAAGAAATGAGTCATTTGTCCAAATAGAGACACACTCTCTGCACGTAGCATTAATGCGTCTTTTCGCCGTGCCCAATTGGGTCAAGATAACCTACACAAGGACTAGAAGTACATCGCTATGGGGACAAATCTCACTCATTTCTCTGAGTGTTCTTTAAGCGAATTTCAACGCGCTTACCTAGCCCAATTCGCATTACAATGAATCGTCGATCGTGAATCGTGACTCACACGATTTTCTCTAACGATATCATATACATATGATAATTAGGCTCGCTAGTTGATAAACACATTTTGTGGACTTGATCCTCAAATAATTGCGGAAATTCTGGTCGAGATCAGGAGGAGATCGAATGATTTAGAATTGACCACAAGCCTTGCCATCCAATAATCAGGTTAGTTTAGCGTCAGTAACTTCATATCAATTAAACCAATCCATCGTTTTAAATTCATTTTCATGCTTGCAGTTGATGGAATATATCAGGTGATCTGATGGGTTGACTTGCCATCTATCAAGATTACGATTATCAGGGTAATTAATTGGAATTAACCTGACCAACATTTTCTTTCATAATTATTTTCTTGTGTGTCGTTGGTGGGATCTATTAAGAAATGATCATGATTGTTATTTTTATGTAATTAACTTGATATTAACCAGATGAAACGTTTTCTTTGATAATTATTGTGTTGCGTCTGCAGTTGGTGGTACCTATTAAGAAATCATCAGGATTATTATTATCATCTAATTAACTTGCTATTAACCAGATGAAACAAACATTTTCTTAAATAATTATTTTGTTGCGTCTGCAGTTGGTGGTACCTATTAATTAAGAAATCATCAAAATTATTATTATCATGTAATTAACTTGCTATTAACCAGATGAAAAAATTTCTTTAATGATTATTTTGTTGCGTCTGCAGTTGGTGGTATATACCAAGTGATCAGAAGCAAATGTGGAGCCTCAGTAGAGGAGTTAGGCGACCAGTACATACTGCTGGGTCCCTACAAGGAGGCCACCGCCCAGACTGAGGTTGAGATCACCGACTTTGGGGAAGACTCTCCCCTCCAGGGGCCCTGTGAGAAGCTCCGCTCCTTCGGGTGGAAGGTGAGGCAATGTGGGTCTGATCTATACGCAGAAATATTTATGGGTCAAAGTGTCCTGATAGTGATGAGATTTGTAGTGTTCGGTCTAACTACTTTGATGGCAAGTTAGGCTTGGAATGTTCCATATGTTCCTGTATTGATGGCAGGTTAGGCTTGGAATGTTCCTGTATTGATGGCAGGTATAGGCTTGGAATGTTCCTGTATTGATGGCAGGTATAGACTTGGAATGTTCCTGTATTGATGGCAGGTATAGGCTTGGAATGTTCCTGGCAGGTTAGGTGAGGTTTGTACGTTAGGTATTTGTATGTATTATATGTATGTATGTTATGTAGACAGGTATTTGTATGTATTGTAGGTTAGGTAGGCAAGTTGTATTGCTCGGAATGTTCCATGTTCTTGTTTTGATGAAAATTTCAATGCTCGAAAGTTTCCCTGTGAAAGTTTCCCTGTATCGATACCAAGTTTTTTGTACCTACGCTAAACTGAATTGTGTGGCAGGTGCACATGGGCAGATGGTTGGTAGACGGCAACCCGCAAATAATTTTGTTCGACATCGGGTCGGCGTCGCACGACCTGGACCGCTACAAGCACGAGCTCTTCGAGAACACCAAGATCGGCATCCCTAACGGCGACATCGAGTGCAACGACGCTGTCATCTTCGGCTTCATGGTCGCAAAGTTCCTTGAGGAGGTGGGGGCAACCGTCAGAAATGTTAATATGTAAATAATGATACTAAGTAATATCGCAATAGCGTTTTTAAATACTGTGAAGTGGGCACAACCATCTGAAGTATTAAATTATAACTAATGAGAATAAATATTATTCCACTATTATTTAATTATTGCGATCGGTATGTGAAGTTAGCTGTATGATTTTTATCGGTAGGTACCTATTCCTTTTTGCCGTTCACTAAGTACTAAATACTGTTAGTCTAGTCCCGTCTTTACCCAATACTGTTGGTCCAGTCCCATCTTTACCCAATACTGTTAGTCCAGTCCCGTCTTTACCCAATACTGTAGGTTCAGTCCCGTCTTTCCCCAATACTGTTAGTCCACTCCCGTCTTTTCCCAATACTGTTGTTCCAGTCCCGTCTTTCCCCAATACTGTTGTTCCAGTCCCGTCTTTCCCCAATACTGTTAGTCCAGTCCCGTCTTTACCAATACTGTTAGTACAGTCCCGTCTTCATTACCCCCGCCAATACTGGACAGTTTCGGTCTTAACCCGCCAATACTGGACAGTACAGGTCTTAATTACCCCCGGCAATACTGGACAGTTTCGGTCGACATGCGCTGAGTTTTGCGAGGACCAGCCTCGCGTGGTCGCGCACTTCCACGAGTATTCTATGTCTAACTTACTGTTTTCTACGCTAACGTCTTCTTCTATGTCTAACTTACTGTTTTCTGTCTAACGTCTTCTTCTATGTCTAACTTACTGTTTTCTGTCTAACGTCTTCTTCTATGTCTAACTTACTGTTTTCTGTCTAACGTCTTCTTCTTTATGTCTAACATTGGTACTATATTTTATGTCTAACATAGGTACTCTCTTCTATGTCTAACGTACTCTTTTCTATGTCTAATATACTCTCTTCTATGTTTAATGTACTGTTTTCTATGTCTAGCATACTCATTTCTATGTCCAATATACTCTTTTCTATATTTAACAAATTCATTTCTATGTCTAACATACTCTTTTCTGTATCCAACACACTCTTTATCTATGTCTAACATACTCTTTTCTTTATCTAACATACTTTTTTCTATGTCCAACATAAACTTTTCTATGTCTAATGTACTCTTTTCTATGTCCAACATACCCTTTTCTATATCCAACATACTCATTTCTATATCTAACATACCCTTTTCTATGTCCAACCTACTCTTTTCTATATCTAACATACCCTTTTCTATGTCCAACATACACTTTTCTATATCTAAATTACCCTTTTCTGTGTCCAACATACTCTTTTCTATATCTAACATACTCTTTTCATGTCCAACCTACTCTTTTCTATATCTAACATACCCTTTTCTATGTCCAACATACACTTTTATATATCTAAATTACCTTTTTCTGTGTCCAACATACTCTTTTCTATATCTAACATACTCCTTTCCATGTCCAACATACTCTTTTCTATATCTAACATACCCTTTTCCATGTCCAACATACTCTTTTCTATGTCCAACATACTCTTTTCTATTTCTAACACCCATTTTTATGCTGTTATTAAGATTAATTAACATCTCCGGACTCAGACATCCACGTGCCAGTATCTAACTCACACGCCGTGCAGGCGTGGAGGCGACTCACCTGCTCAAGAGGCACCCCGACGTCATCACGCCCAACGGCCTCAACGTCAAGAAGTTCGCAGCCCTGCACGAGTTCCAGAACATGCACGCCATCGCCAAGGAGAAGATCAACGACTTCGTTAGAGGCCATTTTCACGGGTAAGATCTATTATGCAGGGGAATTTTCACGGATCAGATCTTTTACTATGCATGGTAATTGACACGGGTAAGATCTCCTTTACCAAAGCAGAATTTCTACGAGTAAGATCATCTTTATTAGAAAATTAGCCCTTTGAGGGGAAAATTTACTGTTTTTCTACTAGCTAAAAATAGAAAATTTTAATAAAAATGTAAATCGAGTAAACTCCTGTTTATTATAGTTGTTTTCGTCAGGCACATGGACTTCGACTTGGACAAAACTTTGTACTTTTTCATCGCTGGTCGCTATGAGTTCGGCAACAAGGGTGCCGATGTATTCATCGAGGCCATGGCCAGACTCAACCATTATATGAAGGTGATGAGTTAGCTGTGTGTTGTGTGGGGTGCTGTGTGTTGTGTGGGGTGCTGTGTGTGTGGCGTGCTGTGTGCTGTGTTCTAAGTGGTATTTTTTACAATTAATGCAAGGTGTTATTGTACAAGGCGATCTAGTCGAGGTATGCGGTGTGGTTGTGGGATGATTTCGAATTATTCAAACTAGGATATTGAACAATTACATATTACTTGTTAATGAACTCTTCTTCAAAGTATGGAATACGGTAGTTGGGTGCTATTGCACGATGCAGTCTAGACAAGATATGGAGTGTGGATGTGAGGTGATATGGTACAATTTTGCTATCAACTATTCTTAATTGTACTATATACGTACCATCAAATTGTGTGTTATACCTATTACACTTAAACTTAACTTAAGTGTGCTACTTGTCATTCGAAACTAGGTGAGTGTGGTTGATATATATACGTACCTTTCACTCCAGACAATGTGTTGAGTTTCTTTATGTTGCCGTTGGTTACCCTAATCCAGGCACGATCATTTCACCTGAAATGATAAAATCTATGAATGTTTGCATTTTTGACGTGTTCATAATGATAGACATAAATGTTGCAGTTCAACATAGACGACGAGGCGGGCCGTCGTGGCATCTACCACCGCTACTGCATGGAACGCGCCGCATGTCACCTGGCCCACACCTTCACCACCGTCTCTGATATTACAGGTCTTGTTGCTTCTGTATGTCTAACGTCTTCTTCTATGTCTAACTTACTGTTTTCTATGTCTAACATATTGTTTTCTATGTCTAACATATTGTTTACTATGTCTAACATACTGTTTTCTATGTCTAACATACTGTTTTCTATGTTTAACATACTTAATTTTTCTATGTCTAACTTCTTCTCTATATCTAACATATATGGTACCCTTTTCTATGTCTAATATACTCTTTTCTATCCCCAACGTACTATTTTCCATGTCAAACATACTCTTTCTATGTCCAACGTACTCTTTTCTATATCTAACATTAGTTTTTATTCTGTTCATAAAGATTAATTTACCCTCTCCGGACTCAGACATCCACGTCCCAATATCTGCTTCTTTAAACCGTGCAGGTGTGGAGGCGACGCACCTGCTCAAGAGACACCCCGACGTCATCACGCCCAACGGCCTCAACGTCAAGAAGTTCGCAGCCCTGCACGAGTTCCAGAACATGCACGCCATCGCCAAGGAGAAGATCAACGACTTCGTTAGAGGCCATTTTCACGGGTAAGATCTATTATGCAGGGGAATTTTCACGGATCAGATCTTTTACTATGCATGGTAATTGACACGGGTAAGATCTCCTTTACCAAAGCAGAATTTCTACGAGTAAGATCATCTTTATTAGAAAATTAGCCCTTTGAGGGGAAAATTTACTGTTTTTCTACTAGCTAAAAATAGAAAATTTTAATAAAAATGTAAATCGAGTAAACTCCTGTTTATTATAGTTGTTTTCGTCAGGCACATGGACTTCGACTTGGACAAAACTTTGTACTTTTTCATCGCTGGTCGCTATGAGTTCGGCAACAAGGGTGCCGATGTATTCATCGAGGCCATGGCCAGACTCAACCATTATATGAAGGTGATGAGTTTGTGTAATTACTTTACTTCATGCTGAGGTAATTACTCTCAGAGAAATAGAGGGAATTTTGTTCAAATAACGATAAAATTCTTAGCTTATGTGCGAAAAAATTGTTGCTCTACCTTATGTGGGTCATCCTTACGCAGTTTAGATCATTGACAAACTGCGTCAGTACGCCACCATGAATGTTAGTTTAATATACGCCGCAATACGCGTCATGAACATGATGTTTAACACGAGATAATTTGCAGTTGGTTAGACACCAAGAATTTCAAGGTGGACGCTTCGAGCATCGATGGTCCAAGCGCATTAAGTGCTGTATTGATATGAATTTCATCTAGTTAATAGATCCAAAACTGTAAACCATCTCTCACTCAGACTGAATTAACAATCCAACCTAGAAGCTAATTAAATGATCTATACTTATTTAAATACGTATTTGAAATGCAGCTATAGTCCAACTATAAAAGTGGTTCTTCTTAAGAATACATTTTTATTTCAGAAATGTAACTGTAACCATAATAAATTGCTTTTCTTATAAGGACTAATTATAATTGCAGGTATTTTCCGTTAATCATAAAAAGTAACTTTTTTCGGTATTGATCATCATCTAAGAAATTTAACGTTAACCTTTATAATTGATTTTTCATAAGAATCGGTTATCATTTCAGGCGTCAAACGTAGACAGAACAGTCATCGTGTTCATCATCTTCCCTGCGAAGACAAACAATTTCAACGTGGAGAGCCTGCGCGGTCAAGCCGTCACCAAGAGTTTGCGCGACACCATTCATGAAATTCAGTCCAAGATGGGCAAGAGGATGTATGATATCTGCCTGACGTGAGTCAAGTTAGTGTATGATATCTGCCTGACGTGAGTCAAGTTAGTGTATGATATCTGCCTGACGTGAGTAGAAATTACATTATTATATTGTATTATAGCGGACGATTGCCGACCGACGACAGACGAGTTTTATTATATTATTATATTTTATTATATATTATATTGTATTGTAGCGGGCGGTTGCCGACGACAGACGAGCTAATGCTGAAGGAGGACACGGTGCGGCTGAAGCGCTGCATTTACTCAGCGCAGAAGAAGAGCTTGCCGCCCATCACCACGCACAACATCATCGACGACGCCAGGGATCCTGTCTTGAATGCCATCAGGCGCTGCAAGCTCTTCAACGATCCTGCTGATAAAGTCAAGGTCTTTGCTTAATGATCTAGGTCTACTTTTTATTAATGATTATTTGTTGCTATTCAATGATCCTGCTGATAAAGTCAAGGTATTTACTTAGTGAGATGGTCCAAGTCCAATTTATTATTGAAGATAAATGCTGATGTTGCTGAAGTGTGTGTGATTTTTTATCGATCAAATAGAGGTGCTAATTTTCTTGGTAAAAATAAATGATTATGTCGATGACGAGGATTTTTTTTTTGCAACTCGCAGAGGAAAAATTACGTACGTTTTCCGGCATGAGTGAATTGCATATTATCAGCCTTAATGTGATAAATCCTGAGATCTGCGGGAGAGTTAAAAACTTCATGTGAATTATGAGTGAAAATTAAATTCTGATCGAAAATTCAAACAGGTTGTGTTCCATCCCGAGTTCCTATCGGTGACAAGTCCGCTGCTAGGGATGGACTATGAAGAATTTGTCCGCGGTTGCCACCTGGGCGTGTTCCCTTCATACTACGAGCCGTGGGGCTACACTCCTGCTGAGTGTACCGTCATGGGCATACCTTCTGTCACCACCAACCTGTCTGGTCAGGCTCTTGATTATATGCCAAGAAGTTACTTTTGTTATAAGCAAAGAAGTCACTTACTTTTTTTCTAAAAAAAGCACTTTTGTTATAAGCAAAGAAGTCACATACTTTTTTATAAAAAAACACTTTTGTTCTAAGCAAAGAAGTCGCTTACTTTTTTTCTAAAAAAGCACTTTTTTTATAAGCAAAGAAGTCACTTACTTTTTTTTTTGTAAAAAAGCCCTTTGTTCTAAGCAAAGAAGTCACTTCATTTTTTTCTAAAAAAGCACTTTTGTTCTAAGCAAAGAAGTCATACTTTTTTTCGAAGCAGAGCAGTCACTTAATTTTTTTTCTAAGCAAAGCAGTCACTTATCTTTTTTTTCTACGCATATAATGGCATATAAAATGTTAATTACACTCCGTAGGTTAGATCATCTGCCGATCTGCCGTTCAATCTGCTCATTTGTTGAAAAAATATTACTCAGTACTCACTGCAGTGAGTGACGGAGAGCGCATTTTCTCGTCGACGAAAACGTGAAGTCACGGACGGACAGACAGACGGACGGACAGACAGACGGACGGACAGACAGACAGACGGACGAACAGACGGACGAACATGGCGAGCACAATTTTTCCACAAATGAGAATATGCGCTAAAGAGCGCGCGCCCGCACGCTCTCGAAATAAATTAATGATGAGTGGTATTAGCTACCACTTCTTCCCTAGTCGGAGCTGTTAAATATTTTCATACTTCATTCATTTTCTTTGCCAATGCTTAATATTTGAAGTTTTAAGAATATTTCTTCGTGTTTACTTTCTTTTATTTGGAGCCCTATCCCATTCTCTCAGGTTTCGGTTGCTTCATGGCGGAGCATTCATTTTATTTGCCAATATTTGAACGTTTTAACAATATTTTTGCTATGCCTATTCGCATTCAGCGTCTTTTCTTTACAAATACTTGACTAACTTTATAATGTTTCTTCACCTCTTCTGTCTGCCATTCAAAACCTTGTCCTTTGCCGCAGGTTTCGGTTGCTTCATCGCGGAACACGTGGCTGACCTAATGAGCTACGGGATCTAGCCTTTTCTTTACAAATATTTGAGCATCTTTAGAATATTTCTTCACCTCTGCTGTCAAAACCTTGTCCTTTGCCGCAGGTTTCGGTTGCTTCATCGCGGAACACGTGGCTGACCCAATGAGCTACGGGATCTACATCGTGGACCGCCGCCACATCGGCCTGGAGGAGTCCGTGCGGCAGCTGGCGCAATATCTTTACGACTTTACGACCCTCAACCGACGACAACGCATCATCCAGCGTAACAGAACCGAGCGTCTCTCCGAGCTGCTCGACTGGAGGATCCTAGCTGGCGTGAGTTCTATCCTTGTGAAGGATCCTAGCTGGCGTGAGTTGTATCCTTGTGAAGGATCCTAGCTGGCGTGAGTGGTATCCTTGTGAAGGATCCTAGCTGGCGTGAGTGGTATCCTTGTGATGTATCCCATAGCTGCGTCATCCTATTTATATAGCGTGAGTTAGACTTGTAAAGACAGGATCAGTCGACTTCTTGTCATATGATCGACAGTAAACTGCCCGTGTCTGCTGTTGGACGACCTAAGGATGTGCAAAGCTTCCCGCGTAGAAGATTCTTGTAATGGATAAGCAATTTATACAGAAAAACCATGCATATCAGTGAAGAGTTATACAGGAAACCATGTTTATCAGTGAAGAGAAAGGTTTTCATTTGAAATCCGCTCCCAACTTTTTTAATTTACTTGAACCTTGTTACCACATGTTCCCTATGTCATGACGATAATTTTTTACAGATAGTCCTTTAGTTTTGTGGTACATGATCGCTGACATTGAAAAATGCTGATTAATTCCTCACAATCTGCTCAGTATTTTTATTCAATTAATAAATACTTATCATTTCCTCATAACCTGCTCTGTATTTTTGTTCAATTAATAAATACATATTACTTCCTCATAACCTGTAATCCCCCCCATACCGTGTTCAGTACTACCGGCAAGCGCGGCAGGAGGCGCTGGTGAAGGTGTACCCTGACCTGAAGCTGCAGGAGGACCTGAAGGGCGGCGCGTCTAACATCAACTACCCGCGCCCCATCAGCGAGCCTCCGTCGCCCTCTTCGTCCCGCGCCACAACTCCAGCGCCCTCACAGCACGGCAGCGACGAGGAGAGCGTCGACAGCGAGGGAGAGGTATTTAGGATTCATATTTGTCAATTACCTGTTGCCTTGTTAAATTACCTATCTATTACCTTACTGTATATCTTAGAATTAATCTTATAGCATCGACAGCGAGGGAGAGGTATTGACGTATAATATATAATCTATTATCTAGAATAGAATCTATTATCTATATTAGAATCTATCTTATTATGTTGATATGTTAACTTTTTTGTATATTATTTTCTCTTAGCGTCGACAGCGAGGGCGAGGTAATGACGATTCATATTCCTCAATTTATGATAATATTCGTCAATTACCTGTTGCATTATTATTTAACCTATCTATTACCTTACACGTACTGTATATCTTAGAATTAATCTTATAGCATCGACAGCGAGGGCAAGGTATTTATGATTCATATTCGTCAATTTATGAATGATATTCATCAATTTATGATTGATATTCCTCAATTTATCTTTGATATTCCTCAATTACCTGTTGCCTTCTTACCTAACCTATCTATTACCTTACTGTATATCTTAGAATTAATCTTATAGCATTGACAGCGAGGGTGAGGTATTTATGATTAATATTCCTCAATTACCTAATGCCTTATTACCTTAACCTACTTTTATTACCAATTACCATACTATATATGTTAGAATTATTCTTATAGCATCGACAGCGAGGGTGAGGCATCGACGTATAATATATAATCTATCATCTATTTCCTTATTAATTCTATATTAGAATCTATCTTATTGTGTTGTTTATATATTACCTTTTATATATATTATATTCTTAGAACGTCGACAGCGACGGCGAGGTATCAATGTACTTCAGTATTTTATCTGTTAATCATAACATAATTGTCTTTAATTAATTGTCGTTAATTGTTGTTATGTTTATCATAACATAATGTCTTTAATTAATTGTCGTTAATTGTTATGTTTATCATAACATAATTGTCGTTAATCATATTGACCTTATCATCTATATTATATTGAATCATATCTATAATCTATATTATCTATTTCCTTATTATATACCATTTTTTTGATGAAATTCAAGGAATAGTCACTTGAAACGACCGCATCCTGCATTCATGCAATTCTATAGGCAATGGTTATAAAGCGATGACATTTTTTTTTAATTTAAAATTTAAATTATTCTTTTTAAATTTTCAAACGGCTCTGTATTCCAGGTGCTGCTGCTAGATTTCCATACCGTTTGAAAATCTCACGTGCATAGTGAAGGATCCTAGCTGGCGTGAGTTACATCCTAGTGAAGGATCCTAGCTGGCGTGAGTTACATCCTAGTGAAGGATCCTAGCTGGCTTGAGTGGTATCCTTGTGAAGGATCCTAGCTGACATGAGTTAGACTTGTCTTGCAGGATCAGTCGATTTCTTGAGATTTGATCGACAGTAAACTGCCCGAGGACCTAAGGATGTGCAAAGCTTCCCGCTTAGAAGATTCTTGCAATGGATAAGCAATTTATACAGAAAACCATGCTTATCAGTGAAGAGCAAGGTTTTCATTTTGAAATCCGCGCCGAATTATTGAATTTACTTGAGACTTGTTACTACTTATTTCCCATGTCATTATATTGCAACGAGTCGACGACAATTTTTTTCGATAGGTTTTTAATTTTATCGTACATGATCGCTGAGATCGAAAAATGCTGATCATTTCCTCATAACCTCAGTTCCTCATAACCTCAGGTCCTCATATACTCAGTTATTCACAACCTGCTCACTACTATCGTTCGATTAATAAATACTTATTAGTTCTTCATAACCTGCTCAGTATTTTTATTCAATTAATACATACTTATCATTTCCTCATAACCTGTAATCGCCCATAACGTGTCCAGTACTACCGGCAAGCGCGGCAGGAGGCGCTGGTGAAGGTGTACCCTGACCTGAAGCTGCAGGAGGACCTGAAGGGCGGCGCGTCTAACATCAACTACCCGCGCCCCATCAGCGAGCCTCCGTCGCCCTCTTCGTCCCGCGCCACAACTCCAGCGCCCTCACAGCACGGCAGCGACGAGGAGAGTGTCGACAGCGAGGGCGAGGTATTGCTGCTTCATATTCCTCAATTTATGATAATATTTGCCAATTACCTGTTGCCTTATTAGTTAATTACCTAAACTATCTATTACCTTACTGTATATCTTAGAATTAATCTTATAGCATTGACAGCGAGGGAGAGGTATTGGTGATTAATATTCGTCAATTTAAGCTTAATATTCGTCAATTACCTGTTGCCTAATTACCTTACCTATCTATTACCTTACTCTATATCTTAGGATTAATCTTATAGCATCGACAGTGAGGTATTGACGTATAATATATAATCTATTATCTATTTCATTTTCATCGATATAAGAATCTATCTTATTATATTGATTATATATTAGATTCTTAGAACGTCTACAGCGAGGGCGAGGTATCAATACTTCAGTATTTTATCTATTAACCATAACATAATTATCTTTCCAACTTATTATTGAACTTCTCATCAATATTATATTAAATCATAACTATAATCTATATTATCTATGTCCGTCCTTATTATCTACCGCTTTTTAATGCAATTCTACATAATAGTCACTTAGAACAACAGCATCCTGCATTCATTCATGCAATACAATACCTAGGCAATAGTTATAAAGCAATGAAATTTTTTTCAAGTTTAAAATTTAAAATATTAATTTTAAATTTTTAAACGGCTCTATATTCCAGGTGCTGATACTAGATTTCCATACCGTTTGAAAATCTCACGTGCATACTTTTTTCAAATTCACTATTAATTTTTGTGTAAAATTTAACGATCAATGTTTATTTCAGTTGGAGGAGCTGAAGAGCAGGTCAGAAGATGACTAAGCCGTCGCGTGTCTCTGGCTCCTGTGAACTGAAAGTCGCCAGCTGTCCTGGCGAGAAACAAGATATTGTCCACTGCCTCTGAAATTATTATGTACTCTTTAGTTGAGACTGCCATTGTAAGTAAGTAACATCTTCGAAAGATAGTGCCATGTTAGAGGTAGAGTACCTCTACCAATGGTAGAGTACCTCTACCAATGGTAGAGTACCTCTATCAATGAAAGATTACTCCTACCAATGAAGGAGTGCCTCTACCATTGGTAGAGGAGTATCAGGAAGAGAAGGTTCATATCGTTAAGTCTTGCGCGGTGAGAAAAATTAAGGGGTCATACTGTCCAAAAAGTAACACACTTTTTGCATATAGCGCTTATACGTCCTTTTCCGGCGCTAAAATGGGTTATGATGACCCTCATAGGAGCTAAAAGGGAATCGTTAATTAGACGAAGTCTCACTCATATTTCGTAGTGCATGTCCATTCTTGATGCAGGAGAAAAAAAGTGCTGCTGGTGCGCAACTTAGTATCAAAAGTTACCATCAAGTTGAGTGTAGTTAAGGTTTACTCTCAACGATGGTGTGTTGAGATGAATGTTCTTTTAAGAGGTGTGGGAAGCGACTTTCATATTCTATTGTTCAATATTGATATACATACAATACGGTGGAAAATCATTTTCACGTAGTGTGTGGAACTTTACTTGCTGAAATCTAATGAAAAGTTGCGGTACTGTGGTAGTTTTTCTGCTTTAAAACTGCCGAAAACTGGGAATTACCCACTGGCGCTTTAATTACCCCATTAGTGCTGGAATTTCCCCATTAGGGCTCAAATTACCCCATTAGGGCTTGAATTACTCCACTGGAAGTAGAGTTGCCCCACTTGGGGGAGGAACTACTTCATCAGGGATAGCATTACCCTACTGGGGGTAGAATTACTCCATTTGGGATGGAATCGCTCCACTAGGGGTAGAATTACCCCAACCCATTTCCACCTGAAACGCCACCCTGCTCTCATGTGATGCTCCTAATTCATAATACCGCTGCACATGCATTTAAGCAGTGGTATAAATCTGGCTATGGGATATTCAATTATTCATGATTGTTGAATGAAGTTAATTGTGTATCAACGGTGCTCATATTGCTCTATGATGTATGTAATGAAGCGCGGTCATTTTCCGTGCACGTCGATTGTATTGTGCAATTTCTGGTGCTAGTGTTGAGAATTTAAATGCTTCATGAAGCAGAGGATACAAATAATTTTAATTTTCTCGTGTGCCATTTAGAAAGTGCAGCTTTTGACGAAGATACCACACACCATTGAATGGTAAAAAGGCCTTTTACCTCGCAATCATGGTTAAGGTATCAACGGTGCCATACATAAGCATTTCTCTGACGACTTTACAACGTTGTAAAAAACGAATTAGTTCAATGCCTGTTGAAAGTGAGGGTCGTCGTGAAAGGTAAGCAACCTGCTGCGGATAAGTTTGTTCGGACGGAACGTTGCAGTTCCGGCAAAGTAGTTCGCCGTACAGGCCAGTACGAGTGAAGTGGTAATGTTACTCTTCCTTATCGACAGCTCAGTGACCCATCTTCATGTGAAATATTCGCGCATTGATTCGTGTAGCTCAAAATAAAACATTCTAGATTAGTAGACTCTATTCACCTGCTAGATATCTTTCTTTAAATGTGTTCTAATTTAAATATTTTATTTGCGCTTAAGAGATGAGAAACAGAGCCAAAATCGTATCCGAGCTGAAATATGGTAAAAGATGTCATAAAGATTGATATTTTATGCCCATGACAATAGATTCAAAATAAAACATTAATTATTGAAGCCGTGCAAGTCGTCATATGAAGAGGCGATCTAATCAAGAAAGTTCACCTCGTTTGCTGCGTGGCACGAGTAATGAAATCATTTTACTTGTTAAGCAAATGTATTTTTATGTCAATATTATCTGTTAAGTTTGAGCAAATTGAATGTGTTTAGTTTTTCCTTTGTAAAAAAATTAAGTTGGGTAAAACATTCAACTCGTGTACGATGTGTGAACTATACCCACTACTCGTATTATATTTTTTCGTGCTTAATATTATCTGATTCAATCAAGACGATAGAAAGGAGGCAAAATGAGATGTTTGTGTACTGTTGATCACCAAAAAATTGACGCCTACTTCATTTTGAGACAGCAACGCTGTAAGAAACCTGTAATGAATAATTATATACTTCCAAGCTATTAGAAAACATGAATAAAATGTACTGCATTTAATGATTTAACGAAATGAATAATTTAATGCGGACGTCGCGGCTTCGTTCAGCAGACATAGGCGTAGTAATTCGTAGCTTGGGAGAGCTTATGCATTCTTTCCAATAAATTGTAAAGCGAATGCGTTTTTTTATATTTCAATTATTCACACATGCAACTTATGATCCGATTCACTGATTGGTTAATAAAGGCATGAAACAAACGTGTGAATAGTTATCATATATACATATATATATCGTTACACGATTCTTTCATAGTAACATTTACATCTTTTAGAACACATATCAATATGTATCAATGTTCTAGAACGTACTGAGATTAATTATAATTTAGATTGCAGCTCCCATCAGTTGAGTGAAGTAACATTTCTAAGGAATAATACTTTCCACTCTTGTTTTTAATACTTCATATTTCGCGTTACATCGATTAATAGTAATAATAATTTAGTCGTACAAATTATCAATAACGGCCTTGGCGAAGTCGATGCGGGTTGAGTGGCCTCCGATATCTTTTGTTCGTACCTGAGACAAGACGTATAATTATAAAAACATAATTAAAATTATTACCGTTAGCGCTTTGGAAAAAGTACAAAAGTTAAAGCACAGACCTTATGATTCAACTGCCTGAATTCCACAGTACTTAGCTATCATTTCTAGCACTAGCAGTTGACCCAAATTTCTATTTACGGTTACATATTTCTAAATTTCAACGAATCTAAAAAGCTGGTACAGAAGCAAACGTCAAACATAAAAAGAGAGCAGCTTTTAGAAGAGATCACATTACGTGCACAAGGAGTCATGGAATTGGATGTGAAAATTACTGGTCTTTAATCCGAAGTTAAAGCAATAGTTTCATTTATTTCAAAGCCTGACCATGGGAATTGTAAACAACCTTATTCACCCTGATTTGTTCGAAACCACGAAATGTATTTTTTTAAACGATGAAATTTTTATAAATTTTCGAATAGATGGAAAGATTTTCTCTAAATTCTGTTACTCTTGTATATACATAAAATCTCGTCTAATTTAAACACCATCCCAAACCATTTGTTATAATCGTGCACATTATTAATGCTTAGAATTGCCGACCCATAATAGGTGAGCATTCCAAGACTGACACCAAATATCACGACAGGCAAAGAACGACACCAAGATTTCCATGGCGAAGAAGTGATCGATGTACGCATAATATTTCCATGGCGAAGAAGTGATCGGAGTTTATCCGCTGTGAAGATTCTCAATGATTGCTCGCTCAAACTCGGAAGTTTTGCTATAACCTCCGATGTCGCGAGTCTTCACCTACAGAAAACAAGAAGCACAAAGAAGCGTGCAACCATGAAGATATAATAAAAACACTCGTGCATTGATACCATTAGCAGGAGGTTAGTTTTCAGACATGAAGGTGAAGAGGGAATATCAAAATAATGTGACAGCCTAAACGAGTACCCGAGACGGCAACTAGATGTACGTTGTACAATAAAAAGAAAATCTAAGCTCTCAATTACGTGATCGTAATAAATATTAGCAACAGAACCAGGCTCCCGACAAAACCTTGATCATTCCCACGCTGTTTTAGTTAATCAAAGAGATGAGTTAATAAGGCTTCGTTAAATATTGAATTTTTTGGGCTGATCGTACATCCAGTTAAGTAAGAAATACTTCAGGGCAACTAATCTAATACACCAAATTACCATTGAAACATATCACGGTGTATAAAGCATCACTTATAATCTGAGTTGAGCTAGAGATCTGACTCAACAATACAGATAGTGTGATAATACATAGTGAAGTACCATGATAATCTCATACACAAGTTCAGAAATGAGAAAGTATTTATAAGAAAAATGCAAAAAAATTATGTCTCTGTTATCTGGTCAGGAATATACTGTACCTTGGCTAAGAATTCACCAAAAACGCAAACGGTAAATACGTGAAATAAGAACCATATTACCCCAAACGCGACAATGTAAACTACACCAATGAATAAACTACACAAGTAATTTCATAACAAAGTAGAGTCTCATAACTATACCTCATATTTGGTGCAGGTACATTACATTAACTAAAGTGTAGGAACTTAAAAAAATACTCATCACTATATACCACCATAGCACTTTTTTATACGTATATATACAAACTTTTTAGTATAACCTACCTTGCCGGCCTTAATGACTTTATCAACAGCTCCTTTAATGATGGCGCTGTACTGGTCGAGGCCTGCGTGCTTCAACATGTTGGCGGAGCAGAGCAACATCGCTGTTGGGTTCGCAACATTCTTGCCCATGCCCTCAGCGAACGTATGACGGGCGCCCTGCAAATACAATAACATTAAATAACTTACTTCTTTAGCCTGCTACAATAGCATGTTTAAGAATTTAAACGCAAAAAACGCCAACATGTCTTTATCGCAAATGCACTACGCAAGTGCTTCAAGAAAACACGCAGCTGTATTAACCCACGCACCTGCTACATGACACCACGCACCTGCTTCGTGACAACACGCACCTGCTTCGTAGCAACACGCACCTGATTCGTGACAACACGCACCTGCTTCGTAGCAACACGCACCTGATTCGTGACAACAGCCCATGCCCTCAGCGAACGTGTGACGGGCGCCCTGCAAATATAGTAACATTAAATTACTTACATCTTTAGGGTACGCACACAGTGAAAGCAGGTTTGCCCGCGCGGGCAACCTGCTCCAACCTGCCACAAGAATGAACATAGGATAATAATGTAAGTGTTCACACTGAAAACCTGTGCGAGTAGGCTTCTGTATTCTATGGTTTCCGGTGCCAGCCTGAGCAGGTAACCAGCACGCTGGCAACCTGCTTTCACTGTTTGCGTACCCTAAGCCTGCTATAATAGCATGTTTACCAAGAATTTAAACGCAAAAAACGCCAACATGTCGTTATCGCAAACGCACTACGCAACTGCTTCAAGATAACACACAGCTGTATTAACACACCACGCACCTCTATTAAAGCACCACGCACCTGCTTCGTGACAACACGCACCTGTATTAACGCACCACGCACCTGCTTCGTGACAACACGCACCACGCACCTGCTTCGTGAAAACACGCACCTGTATGCTGTATTAACACACATGCACATGCTTCACAACAAACAACACGCACCTGTTCGAAAACGACACAGTGCGAAGAATAAGAAGACCCCGCGACGACGCCAGCGCCCCCCACGAGCCCGGCGGCGAGGTTGTCCACAATGTTGCCGTACAAGTTAGGCAAGACCATCACGTCGAACTGGTGAGGGTTGGACACGAGCTGCATGGCGCAGTTGTCGATGATCATGTTGTTGAACTCGATGTCCGGGTACATGGCGGCTACCTGCAATGCCGTTCAAAATTGTATGTTGGCGCAAGGTTCAAATGAGTACCGGTATACCTGCAAGTTTGCTTAAAAAGAGTTGTTTCTTAATTATATTTTAGTTACTCTAGTTGTCCGATAATAGGTAGACAATACCTATGATAGCAACTTATATTGGTAGCATGCAGATTTCCTTGGTGAGTCTTATATAATAGAAATTATTTTTTTTGTGACTTATGTTTTATAAAGGTATAAAAACACTTTATATTGGTAGTGTGTAGCACTAGCTTCATTTTTTATGTCGTAAATGTTAAAAAATTATAGTTATCCCGGTGACTTGGGTTTTGTATGGATATACGTAAAATGCAATTTAGAGTTTTCCATTGCACTCCATACGGGTATATATTATGAAGTTTTCTTTGTTATGTCGGATCTATTAGAAAATTAGTTATAATTTGCGACTTTTACATCCAAGGAAGCCCGAAGTTTGTCATAACTTTAAGCCTTGCACATGAGGACTTGAATCGAATGACAAGAGCAATAGCGAGCTGCTGCAAAGCAGCGTTTTCATTCATGAAAAAATTATGTACCTATTCAAAAGCAATCGAATAGAAACTTGCAAATCACTGTTGGAATCGAATAGCCTTAATGACCTTAACTTGAGCTCGTGAACTTTGAACAACAGGTATTGGTGTAAAAAGAATAAATAATGATCGTACAAAAGCATAAAATTAGCATAATATTCTAACACATATTACAGAACTCGATAAAATGAACAATATTACATAACTCAAGTAAATATGCACACATTACAGAAGTAAAAAAAGTACACATACTATAGAACTAAAAATGTACATAGATTACGGAAATAAAAAACACGTACACGTACTACAGAGCAGAATCATCAAAACGGATTATTGAAGTACATACGTCAGCGCAAGACTTGAGGAAGAGACCGTCGCCGAGCTTCATGATGTTTGCCTTGTGCACAGCCGTGACCTTCTTGCGGCCGTGCTTGAGCGCATAATCGAACGCAAACTTGGCGATGCGGTTGCACTTCTCCCGCGTCGTGATCTTCAGACACTCCACCACACCTATAATATCAGCAGCCAATTAAGAGATTAACACAGCAGTTTTAAACTCGGGGCTACAAGGAGAATGAATAGCAAATGTAACATAAGCAAAAGTGTAACAGAAGCAGCAGCTTCTCACGATCATCTTCAGACACTCCACCACACCTGTAACATCAGCAGCCAAGTTAGAAACAAACACGGCAGTTTTAAAAGTAAGTTTAGGTACGCTGAGAAAGACAACAAGTTTATTATAAGTATTTCTACTAATTAATACTCGGGGCCACGTAGAAAATGAAAATCAAATGTAACATAAGCAAGAGAAGTGTAACATAATCAGCGGTTACACTTTTCATGATCATCTTCAGACACTACAACACACATGCAATTTCAGCCAACGATTACGTGATAGACAAACCTTGACAAGGAATTTTTTTAAATCTACAACCAAAGGTGAAGAGAACTTCACAATCGAACAGCGTAAGCAGCAATGCGATAGAAACAGTAACAACACTAGAAGCAGTAACGCTTGATGCATCTAATGACACCTACAATATCATTGCACCACGAGAGACGAACAATTATGAATGTACGTAGCATCTGCCAAAATATGATATAACTGATATAACTGTAACGTGATTGGAATGTTTTGCCTAGTCCACCTAACAGTTCAATACAAAAATAATTTATAGCAATATTAGTTACCTAATCTAAGATTGAAATTTTATATATACTCCATAGGTATGTGTGATCACATACATACCATATAGGTATGTATGTGATCATTACCTTCGATCAATACACTCATCTGCTAAAATGTTAAAGAAAATTCCCTAAAAACGGTGATACGAAAAAAAAAATAAAAGTTACCGGCTCTAGTTTGCAGATATCTGCTAAATCTTGACTTAATTCTGTAATGTAAAACAAATCCCGATTGTAAATGAACAAAAGATTGCAGTTGCTAATATTTAATGCTCTCGCGCTCAGTATTACCGTTTTGTTATAAAAGTTAACTTATGAAAGTCATACAAGTGAAAATTTTTGATCACATGAAAGTAAATGTTTCTGTTACTAACCTTTAACACTCTCATGCTCGAGGGCGCTGTACTCTCCCTCAGTCTGCTCACGTATGACGATCATGTCGACGTTCTTGTGGCGTACGTGGTTGCACTTGAGGCCGGGCAAGGACTTGACGTGCACTACGTTAGCGTAGAGATCAAGTTCATCCCTGAACAGAGAACAGCAAGTAGTTACATGTGCTGGTCATATTTAAAAAATATACTTAACTTTTAAATTATATAGGTTACATTATTTACATATGATTTGTGAATTTATATAAGTTATGCATAAATTATAAATTATATTAATAATGCATGGCTTATAATTTATATAAATTTATTAATTGTGTATAAATTAATAAATAATTTATAATTCAGATAAATTATGAATAATTTGTAATTTATAAATTATATAAGTTAACAATTATATTATACATAGTGCTGATCATGAGAAAAAGCAAAATTTTACCCCAGCTCTCAAATTAAAAAAAAAATAAATAGTTAAACAAAATCTATCCATGCAATGCATCAAATAATTTAAAAATTGTACAAATGATAATATTAATAGATAACAAGAACACAATCTAGGTTGTAGTATTAACTCCTCAAAAGAAAAACATAAGATTTTATAATAAAGTGAAAAATTTACAATATACAGTAATTTCTCCTCATTCAAACTATAATCACCTTCTTGTATAAAACATTCTCAATATTGATATAAATTTAAATACTAAAATCGCATGCTTATCTCGAAGAACATCCGATAGGTGGCCTTGGGTATACCGTAGTTGAAAATTCTCTGAAGTTGCAGCACAGAAAGTCTGTATTCAGAAGTGAGAGTGACAAAAGAAAAACTAAAATCTAAAGTCTTCCCACAATGTCCTTAGATCTGCATGAGTGATAATTTATTATTGACCAGAACTACATGGCAGAAGAGAAAATACAAAGATTTATTAACAGCTACATTGAATTACATGCACCTGAGCTTCATGTTGAGAGTTTTAGCCTCGCCGTCAGCGTTGTATTCAGGGGAAGCAAGGATTCCTTTAAGACAAATACCATTCCTCTTGATGCTCTCCACGACGGTCTCGAGAGGCTCGGAACGATGAGGGTCAATCTCGCTGATGTAGAGCTGCTCAAAGTCCACTGGGATGCCTGCAAAGTAGGAACAAGGTAGAGAGTTGTAACTTGTTCTACTGTTATTTCGTAAACACCAATGCATCATAATGAAAAACTATTTGTGCCAATGTGGAAACTCAGGACTCAAATTTTACAGCAATTACTCATTGTTTTGCATTGAAGTTTTAAAATTTCTTCAAAGTGACATGACTTCAATTTTAGCTAACAATTAATAATCACCAATAAATTTCTAATGCAATTTGCACCAATAGTGCAAAAGTAAGAGAATGTACCTACATCCTGCAGAAAATTCAACCATAATTTTCATATCCCTTGTTAAAAAAAGTAAGCAAAATTCATTCATTCTTTGTACAAATATTAAAGGGCAAAAATTTGAGCCAACATTTTGCAATGAGAATATGACCAGTTTACCTGCAGCTTTAAACACGTCCATGACCACATGACACAATTCTGGCCCAACCCCATCCCCAGGTATCAGAGTAGCAGTTAGGCGTTGCTCAGGCTTGCTGGCAGGCAGCCCATGCTAAGGATATTGTAAATACAATAATTACATGTTACATGATCTTGAGAGTACTTAGGTGGTTAGTATATACACGTTACATGACCTTAGGAATATTTGTTGCAGAATATATGAGGAACATGAGGTTTAAAGTAGGTATGTTGAGCCGAAAGCACTAAGATGAGGAAAAAAAGATGAGAGACAAGTAGCCAGGTAGGTGTTAGCAAAAATATTTTTTGCCATTTTAAATTTAGGTTAAGAGCTCAGCTAGACTACCACATTCTGAAATATTGCAACAAGTATTCTATTAGAATTGTCTTACAAATTGACCATAGTTTGGTTAACTCTGGCTCAAGAATATAAGGCATTCATACCATCAATAGGTGCAAATCACGTGAAATGTGTTCTTAGTCTCAAAATGATTACAAAAAAAAATTTTACATTATCTTTCTGCAGGTTGGAGTGATTGAAGATAATTTAGCACAATGACCTTTGACTTTCAGAGTGTCAATTGTGTGTGCATTTTCAAACATTCCTTAGATAATCTTACTCTGACAGGCACAGACTTACAGTAGAAAATGGAGCAGCTGAAGCATTATGGAGGCTGCGTTGCACAATGCACTGAGTGGTGAGGCGGCCCTGTGGAAGCATAACATTTCTTAAATTTAGAGTAACAAAAGGTATATTTTAGATGAAAAGAGTTCAAGTGATGGTAGAGTCTGAAATGATTTTAGAGGAATGGTAATAAAATAGTTTCTTGACTGTGAAAGTGAATATTGATGCTCACTTCACAAAACAATGATTCAATATCAAACTAAAACCTAAGCAATACCCAATTATAAAAAAAATTTATAATCACTAAAATGCCTCAAAAAATGTTTTGCTTTTATTGAAAAGTGTTTACACAATTAGCTGAGCAATTTGACTGGCTTATTCATGGACAATTCCTACGTAGATTATTTTTCAGCGAGGTACAAATACCACTAATACCATTAACATCACCAGAGGACTCAAATTTCCAGTCTTCAACTGAAACAATCTTATTACATATGTAAACAAAACTAAACATCAAACCACTACCATAGAGTAAGATTAAAACAACTTTGTAGTTGCTATTTATTCTAAGATATTCCAACCTCATAAATGTTAGATCCAAGTTTTCAACCACTAAGCAGTTCCAGTATTAAGTACCTAGCTATATAATTTTTAGTAAAAAGCAGCAGGTTTAGAAATTAGACTTTGGTGCAGAATCAACTGAGTGACAACTTATGTGACATTGACAGTTGTTCTAATTACAAATCTTTACTAATAATGACAACATTTCTTTGTTGCCAGTTGTTGGTGTGCCAGGTATGGTGATTGGTGAAGGTAAAGAAGCTGCAAGATGACATTTTATACCTAAGAAAAATCCTAATTCTGATAACATAACAAGCAAACTATGCGTAGTGGCCTTTGACAGCTTTGTACAATAACATTTTGGTTTGGCAAATGAATGAGAATAGTTTCAAATCCAATTTTGGCACCAGCACACCTTTTTTGCTAAATCTTGTGGTACTGTCAAAACTTAAAAGTGTCAATGCCACTAAACTTGCCAGCAGCACTTAAATTACCCACCTCCAATAGGAAATATATATTTCATAAAAACAACTGAACCACATCTTTCTATTGCAATCAAAGCAGTTTTGTAGTCATCATGTCATTCATCATTTTTCAGGTGGGTATTAATTTATCAAACCCTAAAACTGGTGGCGATTCTTCTCTCATTGACGCCATCGGAATTTGATGGCAGTATTATATTTAAGATCTAAATCAACAACAAGCCACAGTAAACTACCATAGGATATGGGGACCGGTATTGCGTTACATTCCGGAAAAGGCAATCGAATACGCACCAGTGCACCGGCGAGAGGACGTCCAATGGCAGCCATAATTTAATAGATTTTCTCTAGAATTAGAGCAACGGTAGGATAACCCTGACACTGTCGACTCCGTAGTGGCGGACAAACGAAACATAGTTGGCACTGTGCCAATGAGTGTCTGCAAACCCGCTTTTACCCTAAAATCCAAATTTTTTGGTCTATGTCTTCTACATTTATAATGAAGATCAACTGTGGTTTTATAACAAACAATTAAATGAATTTAATAACTTCTAAACGAAAAAAAACGGGCTTATCCGTCTTAGGAGGTGCCGTGGTGGCTCAGTGGTTAAATAATAATAATAATAATAGCGGTTTCAGCATTATTAGGCCGTAGGCCTGTCGCCGATTCTTAACATCGCAGAACAGTCACAGCATTTTGCGGTCTCGAACTCGCAACTCACTGCTACAATTCTGCTATGCTTAACCGCCCGGCCTCCTTGCCGATTCTGACCAGAAACTGGCGCACAGAGCTGGGATCGAACCCGCGCCTCTCTGCGCCAATCTTGGTACTCTGAACTTTAACCACTGGGCCACCCTGCCCAGCATCAGAACTTAAAGTTCCAGAGAACCAGGATTGGAGCAGAGAAGCGCGGGTTCGATCACGGCTCTGTGCGAGTTTCTGGTCAGAATCGGTAAGGAGGCCGGGCGGTTAAGCACAGTAGAATTATAGCAGTGAGTTGCGAGTTCGAGACCGCAAAATGCTGTGAATTTTCTGCGATGTTAAGAATCGGCGACAGGCTTACGGCCTACTAAACGCTGAAACCGCCATTATTATTATTATTATTGGTATAAGGATGATTTGGACGGAAATTAAATATCCTTTTTCAGAGTTCATTTCTCAAGCACTTCGAAATCTTTCACCACTATATTTTTTAAAGCAAATTTCTGTGCATGCAACGAACTAGTTTAGTAGTTGACGCTTAAATTTTATCAGCGGATTGCGGCCAACTTTGGCACTGTTCATTCATAAGAAAAAGTACGGACAATATCGTAACATGTAATACAAAACTTTATTCTTCAAGGCAGAAGCTTTAACATTCCATTAGTCTAAAATAAATCATCAAATAAATTACAATTGAGCACCATAATAGAGAAAAAACTCCCGGCCAAAGACATTACTTCCAGCTTTAGCCCAATATAATCTAAGTTATTGTTATGCTATACATAAACGAAACTTCAACGTACCAAGCTGCAATTCGACATAATTCAAATACAACCAACACATTACCATTCCGTAGCATCAGAACTTATCCTCTACTAGTAGTGATTTTTTTGTGATTAAAACAAAGGCATGGGCAAACTATGAAAGAATTTGGACACGGAAATTTAGATATGTCACAAAAAATAACGCTTTAGGCAAGACTAGCGCACTGACTTTAGCTGTAAATAGTCACGATAGTGGCAGTAACTAGTACGTTTAGCAGTTTCAATGAGTACAAATTTACAGTAATTAATTAAAACTACAAAAATTTTACCATCATGGAGTAAAACATTGTGCAGTTGCTGAAAAATAATTGAGATGTTAAAAGAAGAAATCAAATAATCGACCGTTGCATTTTGCTAGCTAAATATGGAAACAAACATAAAAAATTCTATCCGGTTCTAGACGAGAAACATCCCAATGACAATCATTCATGAACGCGTGGATAAAGAAAACAGTTAATCAAAGCGAATTCAAAGAGATCGTGCAATATAAGAGATCGTGCATCACCACAAGGATACCAACACAGAGCACGCATTCGTAGAAATTATGGCATCCGCTTGAAAATATAATAATTAAAATGCACAGTTCATCGACTTTTCTGTCTTTCATCATTCATGCGTTGGTTATAAGCTACAAGTCAATGGATTTAAGAAACGCCTTGCTTGCCGAACGCGACCTGTAATAGCGACATAAAACAAAATCAGTACTTCATGTACTCCACAAGAATAATTTTATACATTTTGTCCAGTAATAAGAATGAAACAAATTCATTAAGTCTCCGTCGATGCCAGTTAATTGTTGAACAGCAAACTACTCCCAATGCCATATACTTGTATACTAAAAACAATGCAGTAGTAAACATAAAAAATATAACTAGTTGTTGCAAAGAACATTAGCAGTTCCCTTAACAGAAGTTAACTTGATGAATCGATGCAGCGTAGAAGAGCAACGCTTTTTTTTTTTAATTAGCGTAAATGGAAGAATTTTTGACAGAAATATTGCAATAAGAATGTACAAAAGGAAATGTGGAAAGTTTGCAATACTGTGATACAGAACTTCGCTCACCAGCCCCACTACACAGTACGCTATAAGCAGGCCTGATGACAGGCTGCCATCAGGAAATCTGATACTACTTAATCAACTTTAAAACACATCGACTTACAAGTTAAAACAGATACTAGGGCCTTCCTGAATCAGGCCACCTATTAGTCTTTACAATATATCGAACCTCAGAGCATATTTAACTGTGTACCCATTAAAAAGAGAGAGGTTAAAAAGTACACTGCGGTAAAAGAAATTCAGCAAAATCAAGTAGATAATAATTATAAAACACTATAAATAAAATACATAAACAAGTGTAAATAATCTCTTTTGTAAAACAATGCCCTTCTTAACAAATGTCCAACGTTGCCAGAGATGATTTATTTTTGCATAATGCTATAACAAATAGCTCCTAAACTTGCTGTGAAAACAGTGATTATCAACTATTAAAAATGATAGTGACCGTAAAATTCTAAATTCATTTTTTCGTAACAACGATTTAAACTAACTACAAAATAAAAACCTTTATTTCGATTGTCTTCTCTAAAAAATCCTGGGGAGAAAAAAAATCTGCGAGGCGCCTCGGGCAAGAAATTAAAACAAAACTGAACGCATTTACATCGCGTAAAGAGAAGCTGTAAAATATGACGAGTCACTAAATTTTATGTGTTTTTGGCAAAGGAATCTGAACGAACTTGGACGGCACTTGCAAAACAGCGTAACCATCGTTAACAAAAACTCTATGGAAAGGTGCAGGACTTTCGTTGTATAGTTTTGGACAGAGCGCAGGCTTATTCTTGTTTTGAGGTTCCTCGATGTCCCAGAGGTCCACCATACCACACCCAGGCTTTATTTTTTGATAACATTGACTGTAATCTAGCACCAGGTAATTGACTTTGAGCTTCAGTAGACTCTCATAGACTGTTTCCGCAGGTCGTCTACTAAACACGCTATACACAATTTTCGTGCGCCGGCGCACTTCCTTGGTCTCATAGTGAGGGTGGTTCACTATTGGACGTCCAGTGGAGAGCATCAGGTTAGCCATCGTGGGCATAGAGCCGGCGAAAACACTGTTGGGTGCCGTTTCGGTCTGAACAAAATGCAGAAGTTCTTCGAGATCTGTGTTTAAGTACTCGCCTTGTGTTGCGCGTTGTTCCATTAGGTTCTTGTAACCTGGGATGGTCATAACAGATAAGAGGATCGCAAGCGTTAAGTAGTATAAATCTTTCCTTTGTAGCATCTTGAAGTACTTGGGACTTGCGACAAGAGAGGCTATGATGCATAACTGTGGAGTCATGAAGAGCTTCAATCGCATAATCAGAGAGGCAAGAATGCAATAGACAACAAGCATGGCAATATTATACACGATGCCAGGATCAATTGCACGCCAGAGATTAGGTAGAACGTCTGTTTTGTTCTTGAAGCTGTCCTTCAGGTTATTGAAGCAAGTTGCTATAAAATTCGATCCTACGGCTCCAACCACAATAAAGGCAAGGGGCATCAAATACGAGTTGCACAGACTCAACGCGGTAGAACGTGGCATGAAATCGAATTCGCTGGAACACGTGTAAAGCTTTGTGTGGAAATCTGAGTAGTTAGAGAACTTAGAACGCAGAATATTATATACATGAGAGTCTTCCTCCATGCCTAGAAAGTTAGACAACTCCATTTTAGCAGCAATTGTGGAGAGAAAAATGAAGACAATCTGCACAGACTTGTTCATGGGCGATGGGATCCAATTGAAGATGTTTTCCAGAACAACATACATGAGGAAGATAGCAAGCAGGCAACCCGCAAGATGTGAAGTCATTAGCATCTTATTAGCGAACATTGAAACGAGGCAGTTGGCAAATCCAAAAAGACTGCCCATGAGCACCAACAGCATAGGCAAAGGCCTGATCATTTCAACAGCATGCAGGAAATACACCAGCATAATTGTCACCAAAAGTGTGTATTGAGCAAATTGCCACGTTACTAGGTAGCAATAGGTTGATACAGCTATGCATAGAGCCTGGATGTAATGAGCCCGTGGTTTCCTCAAGGTCTGAGTCACCAATAAGTTGATCAGCAAACTGAACGGGAATGAGAATGTCTCTCTCAGAGGAGGTGTCCACATGACCCTTGTGGCCTCTCCGTGATTGAAAAAAAAGCACAGAGCTGCCACAGCTCCTCCTATGTAGCTGTTGCTCAGCAATGCTCCTGATAAGAATATAAGAGCGGCTGTTAAGCCAGCCATAGTCCAAGCACACTGCACATAGAAATTAGCAGGCACACCAAGACCATCGCAGCTCCAGACTGCTGCCAGACGAGCTCCTCTGGACACCTTGTAGCACTGCTCCAGATCTATCTGCGCCCACCGGGTGAAGCTACGGAATGTTCGGTATAGAGCTGCTATCACCACCTGGCAAAAAGTGCAAATTAGTAGTAATATATAGAATTACTACTAGTAGTTCCGTAGTAATAGAATTCAAAAGCACTCATTTTATTTATACTATGAGCTAGGTCATGACATATTTTCAATTAGAACGAGGTATGAAAAATAGTGGTAATATCGGGATATTAGCACTGAAATCACGCAGGACTATGGGCAAATTACCAGACAAGAATCATTCAGTGACATGAAAATATGAATAACTGAAAAACAAATGTATTATATCACTAAAGAAATATATCAATGTATTTTCTGACAAAACTTTACCTCAGGCATTACGTTGAAGCGATGTAGGCTGTTGATCACACTAGGATACTCAGTGATATTGTTTTGCACTAGCGTTGTTAAGCCATGAAGCATCGTGTCAGACTCCACCAAGATTTTATAGTGCCAGTAGTAGAAGCCCTGAAAAATGTTAGAGACAATTAATAAAATTAACTTAAAATGGAATATGTTCTCTAGGTTGAACTTTGATTAACTACTGAAGTGTTTAGAAGATATTACATTACATAATTCAACATCCATTACAACAGTTAATACTGAGCCAAAGGTACGTGCATAAAAATAAATGTGTAAAAAATGCTTAAAGGTGCCAAAATTTAAACCAGCATAATATGTGAAGAGTGTAATGAATTGCAGCCTTACCATTTCTGTTCTGAAAGTCATTTCTCTTTCCAGATCAGATAAATGAGAAAACCTACGATCATTTTCAAACATGGAAGAAGTGTGGAACATGTTGAGCAGACCACAGCAAAGCCCTGTAAATAGAATAGAATATTTGAATGATTAAACATTGTTACTAACACTGCTAACATTAATCAAATATATATTCCTTACACTGGCAATATATAGCACGTATTTTTTCCTCTTTAGCTGTTCTTGCTTGATTTTTGCTCACAATCATGTGGGATCTTGCTTTCTAGTTATTCCAAAACATGGTAATTATATACATGAGAAAATCAGGATGAGGATAAAGCTGACATAAATTAATAGATGGCCTTTGTTATTTTTTCTGGGTTTATTTCATGAACAGATTTAGAGGGGTGTCAGATCTATTAAAAATCTCTTTGACATCAGAATAATGGTCATATATAGAAAAAATATAACTCAGTACTCACTGCAGTGAGTGACAGAGAGCCCATTTTCTCGTCGACGAAAACTTGAGGTCACGGACAGATGGACGGACAGACAGACAGACGGACGGACGGACGGACATGGCGAGCACAATAGTGCATTTTTTCCATAAATGAGAAAATGTGCTAAAAATTATCAGCCAGCCATATATTGCAGATATCAAGTCTTATGTGCCTAAATAGACTAAAATCTCACCTCCAACTAAGAGGAGCTTAAAACTCATTTTCTTATCAATGCAATCATGGGAGGTTGCAGTTTGTCTGCTAGTGCTTTTGCTGGAAGAATTGGTGGAAGATTTGGACTTCTCATCCTTGGGAGCTTTAGTTGCATTCTGATGCTTCTTGCTGTTCCTACTGCTTGTGCTGGATGGCTTGGTCTCCATTGGATTATAAGGTAGACTGGCAGCCACCAGACCAGGATTCCCTGAGGGTAATCAATAATTAGTAACAGGACACATGAAATTTAGAAGCTGGAGTTGATAATGATATACTGCTAATATCAACTCATTTCAGAAATACAATGAATTCAACATGGAAACAGAGTTATTGAAGACATATCAATGTTTCTAATCAAAACATAAGCCAGCCACACAATCTTGGTCCTTCAAATAGATTTTGAGTAATGAATGGTTCAATTATCCATAACTGATTGATGATTTTTTTTTTTTTTGACAAAGATGAAAACTCAAATATGTCTCAGTAAATGACCATGACTGTATGTGTATGACAATGAGTAGACCAATTAAGTGTCATGAATACTGGGCTTGTCATATTGATATGTAATATGCATCAATGCACTATACACATGTAACTTATTAAAAAAAAGCATATAAAACTCCAAGTATATAAGCTGCAATTTTGGCTTAGAAGTTTAAAATCTGACTTCTCATCAGTTATCAAGAATTCAAGATGGTCTCAAAAACCAACTCAACAGTCTTAAAGTCTCAACTCAGAAGTTGCCCGTGAAGGAAACAAAAATGCCTGCACGTGATAATATATGACAATTTCACTCACTTTTAAATTTAGTCTTATGGCTATAAAGACTACGGTCCTTGCCTAGATAATTTTTTCTAAATACAAAATAACTGATTTTTTTTTAGTTAATGATTTTTGGAAACTACAAGAAAATGAAGAAATACTTGTTTTCATGCTGAAATCTGAATTAGTCATAATTTTTAGAAAATTCTGCCCAATCCAATAAGCTTGAATAATTCTGGAGTTACATTCAATGCCAGTATGTGACACTAACTTTGTTCCTACAGCTGTACAGCACCTGTTGTCCTGTCCTATGTTGCCAACTTGCCAGCCCTCAAAAGAAAATATTTCATCAATAAAACTGAGCTACAACTTCCCAGCACAATCTAAAAAGCGTCTCAATTATTATGATCATTGTGACAATCTGTTCAGACTGTTCTTGTAGAAAATAAAATACTAGTTATGACAAGTTTGGGCAGTAATAATATGTGGTTTTTAATGACAAGAAGAGGCCAAATAGTTAGGTACAGGACAATATCGGCTCTTCTGCATCTGCACTCTGCAGCGGCGCAGCCTGCTAGAACTGAGTGGTGAATTTTGTGGCATTGACAGTACTCACAGTAGCAGACTGTTAGGATTTCATTAGCCAAGGCATTGGCCCTTGCCCAGCCTCCCAGGCCCCAGCTAACTGAGCTAAGCCAGCTTGGCCCAATCCCATCCCCTGATGATCCTCATGTCCCATCATCCCATCATTCCCATGACAGTGACTCATTAGAAATACCACAAGTTGCAGAATTATCATTGCTGATGATAGAAAATTCTCATTTTCAGCATCTACTGGTACTTTAAGATCTAGTGAGTGGAAACTGGAATTACTTATTAAAAAACAATAACAGAAAAAATCTGTGATATTCCTGCCCAAGTTGATACTTGATCAGCACTCATTTCAGCAGATTGGCACAAATACTTCATCTTCTAATCTTCTACCAAGTTCCAACGTACCGTACCATACCAGTACTACTTTACCTTGTAAAGTTGTATAGGTACTTTACTTAAAGTAACTTACCTTAGTTGCTACCCAGTACCTACTACTTGGATTATGCATCACTTAAGTCATTAGTCAACCACAAGGAGATGGTAATTATATACGGTGTGCGTGTGTCACATACTGGCATTGAATGTAACTCCAGAATTATTCAAGCTTATTGGGCAGAATATAAATACTAGGTGTGCGAACGCACACCTAGTATTTATAGCCCTAGCCGTATTAATATTATTCTTTAAACTTTATACATACCAAGGAAATAGAGATTTTGTTGGTGTATCTCAACGTCTAGTGGACAGTGGTTTTACGGCAAACAGCAACTATGCCGGCAATGAAATTTCGTCCGTTGATCTACCAAGCTAGCACTGGCAGCCGGTAATGCAAAATACTGCTGAACAACATCTACACTGCCCAAACACTTGTGTCCGTGCCGTGGCTGCTTGTGTCTGAGTCTGACTGAGAATATGGTCTGAGGTAAATAGCTCCGGACCTTCGGAGTTCGGACCAAAGGAATAATTTGCCTTTGAAGACTGGAACCTTGCAAGGCTTGCAATCGGGAGATATTGACGTAAACGATAACTTTTTGACCATGTTATCGTCATTTGCTTGATATCAGATAGCTGTAGTTTATTGTATTATTTGAATTAAATCGGAATCGTATTAATAAAGTAGCTTGGATATTACTAAAGGAGTGCTCTACAAAGACCAACGCAATGCCTGAATGTGAATGACCTGAATCAAAGCTTATGAATGTTAGAGGTCAATAAAATTCAAAACGTAGGAATGCCGGTAATAGAATATTTATTTCAAGAAATCAAATTACAATATTTCGGAAATATTTTGTCTTCGGATACTCATTTTCAATAATTTTATGATAAATGCCGACCAACAGCGTGTATTTAGAACTCGGCTCTGAAAGGGTAGTCAGGATGATCGACATCTCTGAAACACAACAAAATGAATGGATCAATAGGCGATCGACAACTTCGTAATAAATGTAGTTCATAGATAGGGTAGTGATTCTGGGGAATATATAATATATGACAATCTCGGCGTAGGAGCGATAATTAATAGTCAGTTAAGGACTTATGTTATGTCTCAATATTTGCCATATATAGCACTAATGACTAAACTTACATGCCCATTTCAACGTAGCGCAGGTTGCAGTCCAAGCCTGTCAAGGTGCTCATGTCTTCAGGCGACATTTCGAAGTCGAAGATCTATTAATGAATCATACATGAAAACTATAATTTATTTCTGGTATCATTGATTAATTTTACGAAATATATAACAATTATACTTTACACAGTAACAAAACGATTTAACCCCAATTAACCCCAAATATACTCACGTCAAAGTTTGATTTAATCCTGTCTTTATTGGACGACTTAGGGATGCAGACAATGCCTCTCTGAACCTGTACGTGCGAAAACAGAATCAACTAATTTTTGTCTTAATAATATAACTTTAGTAATAATTATTTTAATAAATTTGTGACGAATTTTATCTGAAAATTCACGCATCAAAAAAGTCGTTTTAAAGCATTCAAAATGCAATAAAATAAAAACTTTTTATTAGTTCGATTACGATAAAAATAAGCAATGACTTTAGGCTATAAGCTATTCCCTAAAGCTATCAAGCTTTAGCGAACAACAATAATATTCAGACACCAGGTTGACAGCAGTTGCTGTGGTACCATCATAACCTGGTTGCACGCTGGTACCTGGTTGCATCCACAACCAAGATGTTCCGATATTTATTTTATGGGAAGTATTGATAATACCTGGAACTTGATGAGGATCTGACCCACAGATTTTTTGTACTTTTCAGCAATTTTTCGAATCGTTTCGTTCTCCAGTAGCGGAGCAACATTTCGAGTATTCCAGTTTCTGATAAAGGAGGAATGAAAACAAATTTAACCTGAGCACGAGTAAATAATTTTATTTCGCATTAAGCGGATATGATGGTTAACCAATCAATTCGCTCAACACTACACGTACTTGATAAAAAATTAGGACGAAAATTTTTATCGATCATTATTGCACACGATGTACGGATCAAGATTTTGGAGCCTAGTTAGCACAAGAAAAAGCATATTCACCAAAATGATCATAACGATAGCAATATCGATTAAAATTAATTATTTTCCGAGAGTTTCCCCGAGTCTGGGCCCTACTTTGAACCACCACGTACCCAGCAGGAGAGCCTAGAGGACTGTAGGCAACTACCACGATGCCTTTACTCTTGCAGTACTCGATGAGCTTCGTCTGAGTCAGGTATGGGTGACTCTCCACCTGTAAATTAAGCCTTCAACTTATTCAAAATAAAAAAAAAGTTAATTTCAATTATTACAAAACAAACCTCTCAGATGTACGTAAGTTCTTATTATAACAAGGGCCGCGCCAGTTGCGTTTACATACATTTATAAATTCAGGGTCATTCTACAATTGAGGATGAGACTGGTTATTTTGGAATGCAACAGCCAACCATTGCGCTAGCATCCATTTTGATGGTTGATAAGCAATGGTGCAACAGGTAATAGGTTGATAATTGTAAATTCGGTAGAGTGTGTAAGTAGAACCATAACCGAGATGTGATGTTACTACTTATTACACTATTGAAGGTAGTTGTATTGGTGATTTTCATTATAGCATGGCTGATAGCGAGACATATGATTGGTACGGTTGTGCAATTATTTTTTGGTTGGCATCAGTTGCAGTAGTGCACTTATCACCAGGTTAGCAGCAGTTGCTGTAGAACCATCATAACCCGGTTGCATGCTGGTACCTGGTTGCATGCCGGTACGGTTGTACCGTTGGTGAGCAGCGTCTCTATTTGCTCTCTATTGAAGTTGCTCACGCCGATGGCTTTGGCAAGTCCGAGCCTCACGCACTCCTCCATGGCGCGCCACGTATCAAGGATGCTGTCTGTTCCCGGGATGACCTTTCCGTCCTTATCCTTCGGCAGAAAATCGTCTCCTTCCTAAAACAAAATTAAGGTGAGTATTGCCTGGGATGTCCAACAGATGTTCTGAGGTTTTATAGGGATATTACTGGGCGTTTCAATGCCCCCAAAAACAATCAAGCAGAAGAAATTAAGGAATGATGACGAGAAAAGTTAAAGCTAGTTTCAATGTTCGTGTTTAACCAGAAATGTGAATTGAATTTTCGGAGATAAAAGGCAATGTTGTATTATGTTTTACTTGCCTATAAGGTATAATTATATCAAGTTTAGAGGTTAAAAATATACCTAATACGACGTAGGCCAGTGCAGCAAGAAGAGATTATTTAACGTTCAAGGATAATTATACCAAATAAAAATACCTTATGTAAGGGAATATATGATTTATACGACTCATGCCGGTGCATCAAGTATATGGAAGTACTTACTGTTAAGGGATATTATTTTTTACGAAGATAAAAATACCGTGTACGATGATAAATACATTTACGACGTATGTCAGTGCATCAAATATATAAAATTTATACTTACCTTTAGGGGATATTTATACGAAGATAAAAATGCCGTGCACGAAAATACATACTTTGTACGACGTCGGCCAGTGCATCAAGTAGAGATCAATGTAGGAGAGGCCGAGTTGAGCGAGGGTCTTTTTCAACATCGGCACCACCAGGTCTCGGCGATGGAATGTGTTCCACAACTGAACAAAATGTGCATAAGGTCATGTCAGTAAATTAAAAAAAGTCCAGTTTCACTAATGAAAACTTATTTGAAATGAAATTTCATTAATTTACAATTTAAAACTTTCCTGTCAAAACTTCTGGAATTATTTTAATTTTATTATAGCGAATGCACGTTCAACGTTGGAAAAACTTCCTCGGTAGAGTCAATGATTTGAGATTACATCGAGTTCGATTCGAAACGCTTAAAACCATTCGAAACTATACATATTATGTAATAAAATTACAAGAAAATTAATTCATTTATAATTAGAAAAGTTCATATGGAAAAGAATCGAACGAATAAAAAAACACGTTGAACAAGCTTTCTCATGAAACTGGAAAAAATATAACTCAGAACTCACTGCAGTGAGTGACAGAGCGCGCATTTTCTCGTCGACGAAAACGTGAAGTCACGAACGGACGGACAGACAGACGGACGGACATGGCGAGCACAATAGTGCATTTTTTCCATAAATGAGAAAATGCGCTAAACCGTAATAACTTATGCTGCTTAAAAATAAATTACCCTAAACTAATAGAACTTTGTTTAACGATTCTATTGCACGTTATCAAGTCATAAGTGGTGACCAGTTTGTGTTAATTAAGATAGCGTATCTCGGATCTCGCTTAACAGATCTGAACTGCAAGTCACTTCGTGGCACAGCCAGGTTTTATCATATGCAAAGGTTATCATTGTGAAAACACTGGTAATTAACACGTATGTGTTTATATTTTCATGAATATTTGCACACTATATGTTTATGTTTTCATAAATATTTGCACACAAATTAAACATCATTTACAATAGTCAACAGTCAAAGATCATATTGATGGATAATTTTACTGAAAAATAATAACTACAATGCATAGTTGCTCGCACGAAATGTGAAATTTTACACTTGTGGGGTAAGTGTGAAATTTTATACGCACTCTCATATATAAATAAGATTATTTCATGGTATGTCCTAAAAATAATAGGCTTTTTCCATAGAATAACGGATACTAATCGAGTAAAAAGTTATTGTGATACAAATATTAATAAGATCAATATCGTTTATTCGGGCTAACGATAACTGTAAAACCCAGATGCTCGAAGTTCCCAAGCATATACACGCTGTTGATGTCACTCGTCTATTAGCAAGTCAACCTAAAAGATTCAAACTCACCCAAGAAAATGCAGAAGTAAACTTCCATTTTATATCATAATAAAATTATTATTTTATGCCTAATTTTAGCTGACTTGAAAATCAAGACGCAATACATCATAGTTATAGAGACTAGCAATGCAAATCATTCCACCGGGTGTGCGTAGTTACAAAACATATAAATCCAGACGTTCAATTAGTTTATGAATTAAGAGAGATGAATAGAATTTTCATAGACGTCTATTGAACAGAGTTATTACAGGCCGCTTATCTAGCTTATGATGCAAGTATTATATAACGATGATAGTTATCGGTGATAACCGTATCACGTGCAACTCTCTTGCATTAAAGAGATAGCATTGAAACCGGTCGTGCCGGCCAGCACCGGTATGAAGAATGCTATTGAAATCAACAATAACGGTATGCTGAATTTGAAAAAAATTGAATAATTTTATATACGTAATAATAGTCTTCTCGCTTAGCTTCTACGTGGAGACCCCCAACTCGTCTACAAAAAAAAGTTGTAACCTGCGTATAGTAACAGAAGAATGGTTTGATAGTGTTCCAGCTATGAAACTACTTCGAACAAAGTATCTAAAAAAAATTATCACGAAGAGGGACGTGGGAGTTTTTGAAAACTTCAGAAATTATTCATCACCCACATGGGGCGGGTGCTAGGTTTCAAGCTGCCAGGCCGCTGAATTTGGGAATTTTGAGAGAAAGAAGCAACGTTAGCATCTCAAACGTAACAAGGAGGGACAGGCGACAAAGAGAGGCAGGTGATTTGGAGGGACAAGTGAACAGCAACAGCAAAGAAGACTCTCGAACAAAGAGGTCGCTCAGACGAGACTTCTGCTGCCCGCACGAGAGACACAGAAGGGAAATGTAAGGAGGCCTAACATAACTTTACCCCGCAACTGAGACAAGCAGTCAGACACCGCAAGCTCAGTGATGGGGAGCTCAAGAACAATTAATGCCTTTGCGAACGCGAAATCTCATAGGACTTCTGACGAGCTAAGGCGTAAACCAGAAGTTCCCGCTGAGGGGATCTTCGTGTCGAGACTTATCCCTGTTTATATCGAGTTTACCTTGGTGGTCAGACCTTAGCTTTCATATAGACGACGAAGATGACTACAGTGGCAAGACCGAACCTTATTTGCATCGTTGAAGATGCGATGCGACGATGCGTCATGTGTCAAGATATAGCCTTGTTCAAATCAATATTCGACCGAAATCAAACATTACCTTGTCCACGACGAAGAGTTCCTCACGTTTGACGACTCCTTCGTCGATCTTGGCCTTGATCCCAGCTCCGATTTCTTCTTCATTTAGATAAAAATAGGCACCGTCGATGTGACGATAACCAACATCGATTGCATCTTTAATTGCTTGAGTGCCTTCTCCATCTTTACTCTGGGTAAAAGGAAGCAAAAAATTGTAAATTAAAGCAGTCAACTTCAAGAGACCAGTGCATGGGGAAGATCTGCTACTGTTTTTTCGACTTTTTCTAGCAAAATCAACTAGTTCAAATAAACACATATAAATCATGACGTCAAATTAATTATTTTATGGATTGATTGCATAATTTTATGAGGAATTCAACAGAAAAATATTGTTGCTTGTCGATGATACATGTCGTCTCACCAGCCAGGTCCCAAGCCCAAGAATGGGCATCGATGCTCCTGTATTGAGCTTCACAGACGGAACTTTAGCAGCCATTCTAGGTAAAATTTTACCAGGCTAACAAATACACATCCACCCGTAATGATGCCTTCAGCAACACTGACCGCGGAGTTGCATATAAGCATTTTAACACAAAGTCCTCAAGTCGCCTGATAAACCTGTCTGCTTTGAGATCGACCAGAGCGCTAGAGCCTTCATATATACTTGCTATTGCTTTACACTTAACGGGCTTATCTCGCCCACGCCTAATTGTACTCTTTACGATTGTAACCGTCCGAAGTTTTTATATACTGCTTAGTTTGCTACTCTTCGACCATCTTATAATTTCGAAGGAGTCTTACAGCAAAGAAAATAAATAGCAAGCAAAAGTACTCTAACATGAGCTAACCTGTGAAACTTAGTTTATATCTCCACCCGTCCACCGTCAACCCCAAATTAATGAGCAGCGGGGCTACAACCGCACTTGTACAAGGTGTGTATATGGTAGCGGTTCCTTACTCTTTTAACTTTTTGTCTACTAACTGGAACCTTTTGGTACGAAAAGCATCGGTAAATGGCAATGTTAATTACGGCATCGGTAGACAATGTGTTTAGACACCTTCTGCTTACAAGTGGTAGCCTAAAGACAGGCTTTGACAGAGATCATGCAGGATGGGAGGTGCTTCTGACATAACAAGTCTTCAACCCAATTATAAAAAAAAATAATACGAGGGACTGCTGCAGGCTTACTTCTCCCTCCTTCACCATTTTTTTTATTTGCCTATGCAAGTAGGCTATTAGCCACCGCAAATCATCTATTGATCGATTTAAGAGGAATTCAGCAAAAATGCAGATAATATCCCCTATACAACTCTCACAGACTTGGACACATAATATCCGGCACCATGCAATTTCATTATTTAATTAAGAAAGCACTCTTGCACTCTGCTCTGATTGATTCAGCCCCTGATCCGCATTCTGCACTCTCTGCTTATCACCAAGCCATGGTTACCAAGCATTCGGGCATGGTTGAACTATATATACTAGTTCAACCATGCATTCGGCATTCTGCATTTATCATAATACATTTATCACATATAATGCATTTATCACTTGTATTCGGCTCTATCGGAATTGATCATTCTCCATTCGGCATTCAAAGTTTAGGTCTCTGGAATCAGTACCAATTTTAAATTACTCATGCCTAAAAGACGTAAAAACTTTATGACCAGGTTATGGTAGGATCAAAACAAATTGTCAAAAACTAAGAAAATGTATTATCTGACTTGTATTTACAGCGAGACTATCGTCCTCATCGAAACAAATCAGTGGGCACGGTGATGCCGCGACATGCCAATACCGAACGTTTAGGACGGCTGAGTGCTATAATTCATAGCATCATCTGTCATCTGAGTCACCAAATTCAACTCAAGAAAAAACCTAATGTCGGGCTGATTTAACTCATTTCATTCACATCACATTCATGTTCTATCTTAGTACCGTAATACGTTTACCTGCTAGAAACTGAATTTTTTTTTATTATTGGAAATTCCATTCACATGAAATGCATTCAGGGTGGAATAAACGGTGATGGATTTCGGAGGTATTCAACATAAATATTACTCTGTCTGTTGAGTAGGTCGGGCCTTCCTGAAAGTTCGATGTCATGTTTGTGTCAGAACCGGTATCGATGCACTCGTGTAAGCATCACGGAAGCACTCATTTTGGGAGTAATGTTCGAATATTGAGAATACTATCAGCATATACCCTTCAATGACGTCAGGGACGCTACTAACTTAGCCCAACTTTTCACTAGTCCACGCCTTGATCCCATCATTCGCCGGCATTAAAGCAGAAATCTCAACTGTTCGCAAGACTTGAAAAAAGTTCGCTTGTTCGGCAGGACGCCTATTGCTCGAATGCCATCATTTAGGTCAGCTGGACTCTTCATGCTGGGATTACATTCCGCTTTCTCCGGCTGAGCTCATTTTGTTAACTATCACTGAAGAGATGCTAAGGAGGAGGGGATTGAACTTATACTAGCGAGGGGCTGGAGGGGGACAGCTCCCTAGAGGGGATGAACTGAACTGACTATAAATAGATGGTATACAGTGGGGCTGAACCCACTAAACCTAGAGAGCGGCTGATCCAAGCCTCAACTTAAATTTTTTCAAGCCTGTATTTCATAGACCGTTGCAAAAATAGAATGACTTAGAAGAACCACAACCCCTCTAACGGGACTGCTATTTGCAACTTCTTAATTAATTATCACCATGCGAATGAATTTTACTAAGCGCAGTTCAAACTAGTTCACTTTTATAATTTATGGAGAATAAACAAAATCCACTCTGGTAAAATTAAGCTCAAGATCAATTTTTATTTCACCTCGAGCTGATTGACCATTTTTTCTAACTTGGCAAAAATAAAGTCCACTGCAACTGCGCAATTTTAACTGAATTATAATAATTGGATTTCTAATGGAAAGGGAAACATCCATGGAAAATAAAAAGTGACACGCTGGAACTTTTTTTCTTCAGTATAAATAAGCTAAGTATTGAGTAGTCAACAATTAAATTGTAAACAGAGTCAGTATCTAAGTACTTTGAGATCTACGTCGATAGGAGAAAGCTGGTATCAAGAGACAGACTGCGAAGACAATTACAGTGAAAAAAAAACGAATCAAGCAATTTTTACAATTCAAATTAATAACCCTAAATTTTTAATTATCATAATTACCTTTGTTGAGCAATTATTGTTTCGAATGATAGTGATTTCACATTTTGTTGACTAGGTCCACATCAACAAGAACTGCATCGTATTTTTATTCAAAATAATACCTTAAATACGGCGTGAACCTAGACGAAAATTGGGAATTTACCAAAGCATGGACAAGACTGCTGCTCGGTACTCCCTCATTTACCAAGATAGGTACCCTGCAGTTATTTGGTCACGACCCTAAACTAATTGACGAGAAAAAAGAAAACTCGCAAGATAATCCAACGAGTTTGAGGTCGAGGTGAAAAAAAAGTAAAAAATACAACGGAAAAACTAAAATTACCATGTTAACACCAACATATTGACTAGCTTAGAACACGTCTGTTCTCGTAAACAACCAGGGAAAATAATCATCAGAATACCTAGAACAAGAATAATCTTAGGTCTACCTCTAGGAGAAGAATTATCACTAGGCAAACAGTATGAAGATCACCAAATAATAAAAAAAGTACCATTAATAAACCTTGTAGCACAAGAACATCTATGTAAAGTGAAATGACATAAACCCTGGTTCTTCAAGTTTGGATAACATTTTCACTGAAAGAAGTTACGCAACACAAGAAAATAAAGCTCTCGGGTTCTTGAAACCCTTCAGTTTTGATATGAACTTGTTGATGCTTGGAAATAACTCTAAGAGCTCATTATAGCTTCTTCAATTTAAGAAAATAGACACTTTACAAGCTCTAGTCGCAGGAAATTTAAGATTGGCTACCAACTACGAACACTACGCTCGATAGGTCCTTATAACATCCTTAATTACAGCTCTACAAATCGGACAAACTCCGCCACCTCTACCCTTCCACTGCTGAATGGCACAAGTGTAGCACATGCACATGTGACCGCAACTGTACAGTACAGAGTCGATGTGCCTTTCATAACAAACTGAACACTCAGACGCATCCATGGAGTTGTTGTTACCAGGCGAAGACGCTTGATGGGATGTAGATGATGAAGAAATTAATGAAGTATTGCAAGTGTTGTTGGCGACGGAGTTACCCATCATCTGAGTAGGTACTCTTTTCTCGAAAGTGACAGGGAACTGAACTTGTATCCTAGTAACAGAATCATTTCTTGCCAGCGTTTCTCTTGGAACGGGGGGTCTAGGATGAGCGTTATACCGCACTGGTGAAGGAGCCTGGAGGCTTTCGTTGTAGGAGTGCGTGGTGTGAACATATGCACGGTTTGGGTAGGTAGACGGAGCTGGGGTGCTTCCCATGATGCGGTTATCTTCGGCAGGCCCTGCAGGGGGAACGACGTTGCTCAGACGACTGACCGACTGGGTGTTGGAGGACGTGGTATTTGTTGAGTGCGTCTGTTGAGCAATGGGTGCGGTGCTCGGCTCAGTACGAGACTGTGCACGGTGGCCGCAGTCCATGGAGTTTGGAGAAGCAGATGATGAGTCCATCTCATCTGGAATAGAAGAAACAATTAGACACTGAATCAAAAGCTTGAATACGATTTTCAATAAATCTAAAATTTAATGGTTCAATTTATTTGTAACATTAAAAATAGCAAAAATAGGGCTTGCAGTCCAGGACAAAGCTTTTTAATAATAAATTTTACCTTAACATAGGAATGAGAACCTACCAACAGCAGATTGGAGACGCATTTGCAGGTCCCGGTGCTGCTGTTCCAAAGCGCGGCTAGGATCAGGCACCTTGACGGCTCCCACCATCCGTATTTTAGCCGTGTGACCGAAGACGTCGAAGAAGGCATGAAGCTTCAGCGAACTGTCGACGTGCATGATGACATGTGGAGATCCGTTGTTCTTCGCAAATGTTATTTGCCCGTTAGCGCTGTATGTGAAGGACAATTCATCTCCCACCTTCGGAGAAGCCGCGACGTCCTTACATACAACCCAGTACTCGGACCGATCCAGGAGCTCATCGCAATCTTCTGGCAAATCGGCTGACGATAGGTCGGCCGGGTCTGCAGAGGTCACGCCGAATGCCATTGCACCGACATAATGATGCTCATTAGCCAAGACTTGTAAAACAATTTTCTCATTCATATTAAGAGGCCGTCCAGTGAAGACGTATCCTTTGCAATACTCGTTGTAGCTTCGCTTTGCTACCATCCTATTGCGGTCAGAAAAAGAAATATTCGCGCCTTTTGTGTGGTGAAACGAGAGTGGTTGGAATGAAACATTCTGATGTACCATCAAAGGCAGCGAATTGCCAGTCGATTCATATTCAATGGCTTGAATCACCATTGGGTCAGTAATGCGGAGATTTCCAAAACCAGGAATAGTAACGGTGTCTTCAGCTACGTCGCTGGAAGGGTAAGGCTGAGTTGGTTGTGCAGGAGAATTCCTATTGCTGATGGCGCCATTCGAAGTGCGTACGACGGTGGCGCTTCTTCTGTAATCATCCCTGTTGTTCATGGAGAAGGAAGGGTCTACGAACTGAAGAGAAGTACTGTTTCCATAAACGTCAACAACCACCCAAAGTGGACCTTTAACGTCTACACCGTTCAGAAAGACACCGATCTCTGTATCGTCCATACCATATATAACATCTCCGGCAGAATTGACGTAGAAGTAAAGAACACTGCCTTGATGCGCGTATCGCTCGCTAAGCGCCTTTGCCCAGCAACCATTTCTGCTTGTGAGATCTGGACATACGTATTTTGGCAATGCACCTCTCATGCAATCGGGGTTTACTGAAGTGAGACCAAAACGCAGAACTCCAGACCAGTTCGAGGAAATCTCGAGCAGTCGAATGCATATTTTCTCGTTGATGGAGACACTTCGATTGGAGAAGGCGATGCCTTTGCAGAAGCTCTGTGTTCTTCGTACAACGGTTCCTTCGTTCGTCACTCTAACGTTTTCGCCCATGACGCTGTGGAAAAGCAGGGGTGGGCGAGGGAAAGTTGCGGAATCCGACCATCTCGGAGCTGCAATAAAAAAAAAACGAAATGAGTACAAGAGCGAATGGCGGCAGTTACGCAAACTTATACGAAATATTTGAAGATATACAATTGCGTTGGGCGTTAACAACATAAAATTAATCACGAACAAAGAGAAAAACTCAAACGGTGTTTATATCAATATCTGAAGGCGATTTGTTCACATTAGACATTTAAAGGCTTGCAGGGAGTTGTTACCATGTTTATTTAAATACCTTCACTAACACCAAAGAAATTATCGATGCAATAATGATAATTAAGAATTATTCAAAAATTGTGCTCAATGATGGCTGCATGCCATGCAAACATAAATTAAACACACTGAATGAGTAAAATCAATCTGTATCCCTGCAATACAAATTCACACCCCACTAACTAAAAGATCGGGTCTTCAGCTTCATTTTCGATTTTTAACACCAATGCTAGAACGGTTTCGATCAGGTCGTACATTCTTCTTATAAGTGTACTTCAATAACACATGTTTTGACTTAGTTTGAAAATCGAGGATAAATAAAAACAAAATAAACTAGAATCGGTGCTACAACTACGAGAAAGTTAGCCGGTTATGTAGTCACTCCCAAAAGAATGGGAGCGGTGAAAATAGGAACGCTCGACCCGCAGAGTTCTGTCAGATATTACTGGTGGTGTTCTTTTGGAAGGTATTTCTTTTGATAACTAAGTATCAAATGGAGTAAAGTAGCAGGCTAGCATAGATGGCCATGACTATAAAATAGTTGGGTTGATGATTTGACGTCAATAGAAGGCCAAGCTTTCCTCATGCAGCCTTAATTTCCAATAAAAATCGGAACCAAGTTTTTTAACTTCCATATTTAGATAAATTTATTAATATTTAATATTAATAGCGTACAACGATAGGGAATTGCCTCATGATTATGAATACACTCATTATTTAATCGTGACCATGAAAATTACAAAAACGTTCCACTTCTTTTATCGATTATTATTAAACTACACAGAATGAGTTCTTTAGAACAATGGGGACAGAATTAATAAAATGTAGCGTAATCATTTTATATTGCATATGTATGAGCACTGAAACGAGCAAACCGATAGCAAGGCAACAGAGGCTTGCTAACAAAGGCCCTAAGCTCTCCTGATGAGATACCACTCAACAAAGAACCTAGAATGCGATTTCGGTGAAAGCCTGTGCCAGGGCTGGTTAACCTTTGTGTGACGTGGACCTTCCATAAAGAATAACAGTTATCATCTCGCAAATTATTTAGAAGTCTTCAAATATAGTAGTAGGGTATACAAAATGTTACTGTAATAGTACTTCACGCCCAACAACGAAGAATGTTGTGAAGCTCGAGATAGTGGAATATCTTTGCGATGAGTCCTATATATTTCTTCCTAGTACATTTACGTGCAAGTTTGAAGGTCAAAACTCAATTTTTGCACTCCAGTTATTAAACTGCAGAAGTATATGTTCAATGATACCCAATCCACAACCTGACAGTTAAATCCTCACGGCTGTACAAAAAAACTTTTTACTGCAATTCGGAGGACATGAAAACTCGCGAATGAAATCATGCGAACTTACAAAACTATTGAGACAGTAACTAACCTAATCCCATTTTCCTCTTCAACTTCTTTAGTCCCTTCATCCTCTTGAGCAGATGTCCGGTGTTCACGCACTGCACGGTTCGGGTTTCCAACGCACGTTCGACGCAGATGGCAGGCATTTCAGGGAGTTTGGGAACGGAGGGAGGAGACAATCGACGAACGGTGCGCTTGCTGATCTGGCGCATCTGAATAGTCCTTGGCCAACACGCAATAACCGGGTAAACAGCAAAAAACTTATCAACTTTGATCTTCAGAGGTTAGAGTGACTTTTAGTTTCAAAATTCATTAAAGTGCCCGCTGAATTTCAAAGTTGCTAAAGAACGTAATATTAGGTTCAGTATGCACAAGGTTTTCGTTCACAAAAGAATAAGTTTTGTACACTGTTTCAAATCATAAAAGTCTACAGTTTGGATGCGCATCTGGTACGGTGGTTTTAATGAAACAGAAAAACAAGAACTGAACAACAGAAATTTGTGAGCTCGAGATCAATAGCCTGGAGATTTTATGCACACGACGGAGTACGGGACTCTCTCCGATTCGTTGCAAGCAGCTTTTCAATGCTCCAGTGAAGCTAACTTAGGCACTTTCTAATTCTCACAAAATCACAACACTTGATGAGATCACAAGTATATTTAGCGTTGTTGCAAGTCTAAAACTCTTTGCACGAGTTCAGGACTACTTCAAGAATGACAGGAGTTTGACAAGCACGTAACTTCCAAGGACAATATTTCACTGACGGCTAGGCCTAGAGTGACTAGCCTAACCACCTCCTGCGACGGTCTTGGTATGAAGACTGAGCCGGGAGCTCAGCAACTGGCGGCGTGTCGTCTCCCGGTGTGCGCCAAGCGCGAACGGCTGCGCAGCTGGTGATAAATGAGAAACGGGGAGGGAAGGTGTGGCTAACTACCACAATAGTCTGGCGCTAATTACTTCAAGAATATAGTGATATTCAACTTACTCAAAGAATGACTTCTTAATAATAAATGGTCATTGAAAATATCGCTATGTGGAGTGATGCCAATTATTCAGATATTCTCGTCGATTTAGGTAATAATTTTAGGAATTTCGTATAGCGACACTGCGACAGAATATCTGATGATAATTTTTCAGTTGGAAACTCACGTAACATATTGTTCCTACCTAAATCAGTGAATTACAGAATACTCAGACGTGAAAAAAACATTTCAACTTCAAAACTTGCTCTTTTGGCTGTCATTCTAACCGGAAGTTGTCGTCTGATAAATCGAGTTTAAAACAGATAATTGGAATGCTTGAACCTTCCTTGTTTTGAGAAGGGATCACGGTAGCAGATGCGGCTTAGCCAAATTCGCCCACACACCAGACGTCAGTCACCGGACGTCGCTATGGCTCGAGCGGCCATCCACGAGCCCCTACTCAAAAATAAGTGTGATACCCAAATTACTTCGGCCAATCAGAACTTCGTTTTGAAAGATATCTTTAGCCGGAATGATTTGTAAATAAAATTCTATGTTTCAAATGACACTTATTTGCTTCAAAAGTTACGTATACCAGGCAATGACTTCGGTACTCGATTTACGAGCATCGAACAACTCAAGGTCTCGAATTAGTGTCTCTGAACACAGCCTCTGCACGCATCTGAATCTCGCCTTTTTGTGTTAACCGAAATGAAACGAATCATAGAAAACCATAAACTTGTGAATCTTCGTTCAACTAAATTATTGCATAAATATTCCGAAAATTATTTAAATAGTGGCCTTGTCGAAATAAACTGGCAAGATGGATGACATATACGAGTATTTAATTTGAGTAACTTTCAACCACTTCAACAGAAACTGTCAATAAGTTGAGTACGATCGAGGCCACAGACTTCAAGCTTAATTGAGGACTTGTAGTCTCGTATGGATGTTATTTTATGAAGGTTTGATCTTTAAGTTAGCTTGTTGCATGATCTAGAAATGCATTTTGCGTGCTAGGGTGGCATGAAGGTACTACTAGTTTAATTTTATTTACGCTTAAGGTGTTGTTGTGAACGATGGATTGAAGGATCCGTTTATCTGCTTTATAACCGCTGGTGTACGTATTTAGTGTGAAATCAGTGCAGTCATCGTCTTCGTTTTTAGCAAGAAGTGGTTATCGAGCATGAATGAAGAGTAGACATGCAGCACCTTCTCAGCAGGGCGGAAAGAATGGTGAGTGTAGGACAGGAAGCAGCGGTGGGAGGGGCGGACGCGTGATCACTAGCAAGGAACGGAAGCCTGCGCCGGAAAGGAAGCTCGTCTCGCCGACACCAGCGCCTCAGGCTCGCATGCGCGACTTTTCTTCAAGAGCGCAGCTTAGAGAAGGAACAACCTGTGCTCATTTTATAACAACAGCCCTTTCTTCCAAGGCGGGAACTGCTTACCATCTCCCTAGATACAGTTGTGTTCGTAAAACGTCCATAGCATGCGTTACATTTATCTTCTCTACGTTCATACTTATTTCTTACATCCGTACCTGAAAGAAAACCCAGTATTCTTCTGGTATGACGTAAAATGAACCAAATCAATTTATTATTTACGAAGTCCTATAAGCATGCAATCTAAAAATGTGAAAAGTATCTTTAGGTGACTTTTGCAAAAAAAGGAAGACGCCTGCAAAAAAATTGCCAATTGTCAGGAAAACAGGCCACATGTAAAACCCACCCAAAACACATTTCATAAAACAAGCCACCGTTAAATTCCTCGACATAAAAAACCTGCCAAATATCACAGAAAAAACTTAGCATCAAGTTCATATTTTGATCGAGCTAAATATATCAAAGGAATGAGAACCGAGCAAAAAATTCCTGAAATAATGACCGCGAAAATATGTAAGCATCAGAGAGACAGCGGCCGGGTTGGCTGTATGTGTGATGTTCTCCACGGCTTTCTTCGTCACATTTTCCTTCGACTCTTTGCAGGCGAGTTCATAACTTTACTAAAAATCCAATTAAACTTTCATTATTGTCCTATTGCCTTTTCATTTCCATAACTTTTTTAATCCCATAAACGTTCAATAGTTACTTAAACTTTCAGCGTGAACTATTTCTTGCTCTGTGCTATTGCTATTTCTTGCTATTTCTCGTGAACTATACCAATCTCTGTCTGTAACACACAAAAGCTGCTCGCAATCAACAATTTCGCGTAAAATATTTATATTATATGATATATAACTCTCTATTTCGAACACAGGCTGCTCTGAATCAACAATTTCGTGTAAAATATTTATATAATTGAATATACCACTCTACCACACACAGGCTGCTCTGAATAAACAATTAAGCGTAAAATATTTATATAATTGAATATACCACTCTATACTACACGCAGGCTGCTCTGAATCTACAATTTCGTGGAAAATATTTATATTATTTAATATACCCCTCTAAACCACACGCAGGCTGCTCTGAATCAACAATTTAGTGGAAAATATTATATTATTTAATATACCCTTTATACTACCCACAGGCTGCTCTAACTCTACCCGGGTTCTACTGGCTGTACGCAATCTTCTGTATATTGGCTGGAATTTTTGCGTTCACTTGTGTCAAGGAAACTAAGGGCAAAACCTTGGCTCAAGTCGCTGAAATGTTCGGAGGAAAAGTTCCCAATAGTTACATTATCCTTCAAACCCCAAGTGCTCTTAATGGCAACAATCAGCATCGAGATCAAAACGGTATTGCTGCTCAAGATTTAAATCTACACGGAATTGAACACGGCTCGTCTGCACACGATAAAAATGTTCATCGAGATCAAAACGGGACTTTGGGAGCAAATGGGACCAATCTGCCTCGAGATCTAAACGGTTCTTAAAGAACTAAAGGTAACCGTTTACAACGAAAATAAAACGAGACTTAGCACCAAACTGTAACAATCTGAAGCGGAATAAAAACGGGACATTAGGACCTAACGGTAAAAATCTGTCGCGAAATTAAAACGATTCCTAAAGGTCTATCGGTTACAATCGGCAGCGGAATTAAAAAGGCTCTCAAAGCCCTAACGGTAACAATCTGCCATGAAATTAAAAATCTGTTTAGTAGGTACATAATAGTAACAATCTGCATCGGGATCAGGGGCCATACTTTCAAAACTCGCTAAGTGAACGTAAGTACTTACGCTCTATTTTCTTGCCTATAATTGGTGGATTTGGCTTGAAAGGACGTCAGTGATTGGCTGATGAACATACGATCTGTCTCTTATACACATCTGTACCTAATTACTCCAGTACAGTAATCTCCCTATTTTACTGTACGTACTTACTCCAGTACAGTAATCTCCCTATTTTACTGTACGTACTTACTCCAGTACAGTAATCTCCCTATTTTACTGTCGGTTACGTAGTATTTATGTCTTAGATTATGTTTATGTTTATGTACTTCCTTACTCCAGTAGAGTAATCTCCTTACTTTACTGTACCTACTTACTCCAGTAGAGTAATCNTGGTGGAAGTGTGATACGGTAGCGGTAGTACCGGTATAAATGTAGCGGGAGTGTGATACGGTAGCGGAAGTACCGGTAGTATGGTGGAAGTGTGATACGGTAGCGGTAGTACCGGTATAAATGTAGCGGGAGTGTGATACGGTAACGGAAGTACCGGCATAAATATAGCGGAAGTGTGATACGGTAGCGGAAGTACCGGTATATAAATATAGCGGAAGTGTGATACGGTAACGGGGGTACCGGTATAAACGTAGCGGAAGTGTGATACGGTAGCGGAAGTACCGGTATATAAATATAGCGGAAGTGTGATACGGTAACGGGGGTACCGGTATAAATGTAGCGGAAGTGTGATACGGTAGTGGAAGTACCGGTATAAATGTAGCGGAAGTGTGATATCACAGCAACAGAAGCAATCCTAAAGCGCGCCGTTATTCGCAATCGATCTCTTCCGCCTAACTAACTACTGAAGGGTGCATTCGGAAAAATTATTGGGTCTTATTGTCCAAATACTGACGCACTTTCTTACCCATGGCACGTGCAAAGAAAGGACAATTTGGCTGGGTCAAAATGGGTCATGATTACTCACACAAGGTCAAAAAATGCATCTCTATTTGGACAAAGTCCCACTCATTTCTCTGAGAGTGGTCTCGTTTTATGAGTTACTCCCTGGAGGTATGCATCACGAAATTGTAATCACTCAATTCAGAAATTTAGTTCCTATAATTTTCTACTGGGAACTTATTTTGAAAGGAAAAAAAAATCATGCCTTGCATTGCTCTGTTTTGCGTATGACAGGTCACTGACTCACTGCGGACGTTTCTAGGTCATCCAAGATCATAGTTGAACTAGTATAAGGTTGACCCATCAGAAGCCCATTTTTGCGGATGTAGTTTATTGTTCGCCTGTGACGTCACTGACCTCAGTGACGTCACGGCCATTAACCAATCGCCGAAATTCGATCAAACCAGTCTACCAATCCGTCATGGGAATGACGGGATTGTTTACGTTTCTTGATGTCAGTGACGTAACAATTAAGAAAGCTGGGCCGATACTTTCAAAAAAAGTTAAGAGATCGTAAGTTCATCGGCCAATCATTGACGACCTTTCAAGCAAAATCCACCAATCATAGACAAGAAAATAGAGCGTAAGTACTTACGTTCACTTAGCGGTATGGCCCCTGAACTGTAAGACAGAACTTCTCGTGGGTCAACCTTATATTGTTCAACCATGACCTATGCGCTGCATATGCAGTTGAATAACTGAAATGCAAAAATATTTCTCATATTTTCTTTCGCATTCTTTTTGGTTCATGATTATTTATCGGATGATGAGAGACTTATTAGTACAGTCACGCTGTTCATATAATCACTCAGCTCACAATTAATCACA